ATTATTATTTTGCCGCTGGTGGCAGCTCTGTCTCGGCCAAGGACTCTGGCTGCGCAGCAGCTGACGTACTGAAAACCAAAGTGCTCCCACAGGAGCGAAGTAACGTTTCGTTTTGATACCAGTGCAGCCATCCTTCTCAACATGCATCATTGAGTTGAACCAAGTTCAGTAATCGCGGTGGCCCATGATGCAGCGCGGTGGGCTTCTTCATATTGCGATATTTCATTTTTGCGGTTACCGCGACAGCCCTACTGTGGAGTTGCTAATGCTAACAGTTAACTTCCACCAACCGAGATGGTCTCTGCTGTTTCCTGGACGCTAAACCAACAACAGCCTTTCCTGTCATGAGTCAAGATGGGTGAGTCCATAAATGTTAAGTGACAGTGTGACATAGATCTGTCAGGCTTTTCAAACCCTAAAGTTTCACCGTCTATTTTCTATCAGAAGCTAATGCAGGAGATAGGTGTAGGAGACTATTTTCATGTTTAGGCTGCATGAAAAACTTGGTGATCGATTATAATCAGAAATAATCATAAACATTTTTTTGGGTGTTCCAAACCTTTAAGAATTATCTCTCTTATGGTGAATGACATAACTTCTACAAAAAAACATAAGCCTGAACTTGTTCCGCCATGTCGTGGAGTTTTTCTTTAAACATCTTTGGTGTGTTCTTGCTGTGTTGAAATTCTAATTCCATCTGCGGCTGCAAACGGAACTCTGCAGGTAAATAAAACCTTTCTGTGTTTTAAAAAGAACTAAAAGATGGAATGTCGTGGAGTTGCTAATGCTAACTATCAGCTTCTACAAGCTGACGGTCTCTGCTCTCTCCTGGCTGCTAAATCAAAAATAGCCTTTTCCGATGAGAAACAAAGGTGGGCGGGGCCACGAATACAAAGCTTCAGAGAATTAGAAGAGACTGGATTTTTCTGAGCTGAACATTTTACCATTTATGTCCTTTTTCTGACTCGTTCACATTAGAAAAAGATAAAGTATTACGTTTTTTCAATGAACGAGATATTCTTTTAAAATTGCATTACAACTAAATTCCCTTCAGGCACTTTGTTTTAATTATTTCATTCATGTTTGGAATAAAATTTTTAAAAAATCACTGAGATCTGACAAAACCAACAAACAGGACATGACATTTAGCGATATGAACAAATAAAGTCAGATATTAGATAGAAAACTATAAATAAATTAATTATGTGTTTTATGTAAACAGTTTCTCTTTAGTTTATCCTTGATATAATATAAACACTAGTCCATCTTGAAACCTGCTTTTACTCACGTAACCTGGACTCAGACACAGGTGAAAACATTAATGAAGAAGAACAACAAGAACAAAAACAACAACAAGAAGAACAAGAACAAGAGAGTGTACACTTGGAATTTATTGCAGACTGGATTATGAGCCTTGAGAATTACTGAGGATGAGGAGGTTAGCGATTCACTCGGCTCCTCCTCCAACAACAATATGAGAACAAATCACAGGCTGCATCATCTGCTTTCATCTGGAGTTAAGAACTGGGTCGCTCTCCATACATCTGCAGCTACAGCTGCAAAGCAACAGCCACTTTAAAATGATCCATCTATCTTTGGTGGGAGCAAATTGAATAAAACAGATATTTTTGTCCCTGAAGCACCGGAGCTAAATGTGTGCTGCTCTGCCGTCAGAAGCCCACTTAATTACAGACTAATCTTTTAGTTGCTGTGGTTTAAAACGCTCCTATATGGGCTCCATGATGGGGATTTATGATGAGCAGCTAATGCCACCAGCAGCAACAGGCTGTGGCTAATGAGGATTAGCTCATGAAATAAGAAAATTTAGATGTATAAATATTTTACTTTAAACCAGTGACCATGAAGGTAAGGTTGAATTGTCATAAAGAAAATTAAATCTGGACTTTCTCAGCAGTTGCACTTCACACACGCAAACGCACGCATGTACGTACACACCCACGCACACACCTGATCTGTGTGTTTTCCATAGAGGTGTGAGAGGACAAAAGTGAAAAGCCAAACATTTCCATCATAAATTACGGTTTACAAAACATCAGGAACAACAAATGAGGATATCAGATGGCACTTTTTGTGATCTGTTTGCCTTCTGTGGGAAAGCAGTAGCTCAGGAAGGTTGCAGGTTTGATTCCCACTCAGAACAGAGAATGCTGCTGTTGTGTCCTTGGGCACACTTAACCCACCTTGCTATTGGTGGTGGTCGGAGTGATCGGTGGTGCCAGTGGTCGGCAGGCCTCACCTCTATCAGTGAGCAAGTGTGTGTGAATGGGCTGCTGACTGATTGTGCTGTGAAGCGCCTTGGGGGTTGTAGAACCTTAAGAAGGTGCAATTTTTATTTTATTTTACAGTAAACAAAAGCATAATTTATGATTATTTAAACTGGGGGCGTCCAATCCTAGTCCTGGAGGGCTGGTATACATCATGTTTTAGTGGTTTCTCAACTCCAACACGCTTGATTCAGTGTCTGAATCACCTGTGCAGCAGCTCATCCGGCTCTGCAGAAGTCTGTTCATCACCTGCTGATTGAAAGCAGGTGTGTTGAAACAGGGTTAAAACTAAAATATGCTGGATAGCAGCCCTCCAGGACCAGCATTGGGTGCCCCTTATGTAAACAATAAAGGTTTATCCAACGCTCATGACCTCAGAAAGTACATTTATACTTCTGTTGTTCGTATGATTGGTGTCAAAGTCATAATTATTAAACAAAAAACGATCCCAAGTTCACATTTTAAAGACAAGGTGTACCCCAGAGCAGCTGTGGCTACACTGAAGCTCATCCCTATCAGCATGTGAATGTGAGTGTTTGTGAGAATTGATTCACTGTAGTGTAAATTGCGTTGGAGTCCTTTAACTCTGAAAGGCACTATATTTCCAGACTATAAGTCGCACTTTTTTTTTCATAGTCTGGCCGGTCCTGCGATTTATATACCAAATTATGTAGGCTATACCGCGCTGCTGTGGGCCGGCTCCAGACCAGGAATGAGCTCCCCTGCCCCGCTGGGAATAAATAACACACAGCCATCACCTGCTGGAGCCTGCTGTGCGCCGTTGCGTACTGGATCCGGCCTTCAGCTCCTCTGTCCCGCCATCACCTGCTGCAGCCTGTGGCGCGCTGCTGCAGGCCGGCTCCGGCCAGGAATGAGCTCTCCCCACCCGCCGGGAGGGTTTGAAACACCGCCATCCTCTGCTGGAGACCGTGGTGCGCTGCTGCGCCCGCGTTGTTTATTCAGTTATTGTTACCGGTACTTGTCTTGCAATGTGAAATGCTTGGTCTCAGATTTAGTAAGAAAAATAAAATTTCCCCCCAAAATGCGACTTATAGTCCAGTGCGACTTATATATGTTTTTTTCTTCTTCATTATACATTTTATGGCTGGTGCGACTTATACTCCGGAGCAACTTATACTCCGGAAAATACAGTACAAATGCGGGTCATTTATCATTATCACATTTAAAAAATAACAAGAACTGTTTCTCAGTTAACTTGGCCTTTAAAATAAATCCTATTTATTCCCATTTTAAATGTGTGCAATAAGTAAACGCTACAATTAATAAATACAATAATTATGTGTCCCAGAAATTCCACAAATGTAATGTGTCTATTTTTAGTCAGATGAGCTTTAATGTAGAGTTGATTGATTTAAAGTGGATTACATAAAGTAGTTAAAGTACTTAAAATAAAACTTGGATTGGTGCTGCGTCTGCAGTGATGCGGGCGTTGTACCGGTCTGTCAGGGCGAAGTGAGAGCTGAGCCGGAAGTCGAAGCTCTTGATTTACCGGTCAATCAAAGTTCCTACCCTCACCTATGGTCACGAGTTTTGGGTAGTGACCGAAATCGCAGATACAAGCGACCAAAATGAGTTTTCTCCGCAGGGGGACTGGAGAAGCTTGGTCATCCGGGAGGAGCTCTGAGTAGATCCGCTGCTCCTCCACATCGAGACGCCTGGACGCCTCCTTGGTGAGGTCTTCCGGGCACGACCAACCAGGAGGAGACCCAAAGGAAGACCACTGAAGAGACTATGTTTCTCAACTGGCGAGAGAACGCCTTGGGATTTCCCCAGAGGAGCTCACCCAAGTGGCTGGGGAGAGGGAAGTCTGGGCCTTTGTATTCAGATCATTTGTAGATGAATCCCCAAGAACAAAAACACTCACAATACACCAGGGAGAGATGAAAATGAAGGACCTCCAGCCTCTGCCCATAGTGGAGGATTTTCAGCTCTTGGCCTAAAATATAAACGTCTAGGAAGAATGAAACTGACAAAGACTCAGAAGAAGAAAAAAAATCGGTATCTCCAATACTGACCCTAATTTAACTTGGTATCAGATCAGAAAGTACATCAGTGGTATCGCACGTCACTAATTTGCATCATGTGCCTCTGGTTTGTCTTTGTTGTGCCATCTTCACTTGAGCAGACTTTTTAAAACTTTAGAATTATTTTCTGTTTTTTAAAATATCCCAACAGTTTCAGCTAGAAGGGGCGGAGCTAGTCACTTGTAAACTTAAAAAAAATGTTTGTTCTTGTGAAGCACCTAGTGATTCTTATCTTGAGGTGCTATACAAAATATCATTATTTCTTCTTCAACTGCTTACCATTCAGACATAAATGTGACACGTGATAAATAGATTTTAATCATTTCTGTCAGATTTGTTACTGGATTGTATTGTAGCAGCTGCTTGGAGATGAACTACGCGGTCTCCGTTTTATGGCAACAAATTACTTCTCACAACTTAATTGTTATAGAAGCCTTCCATTAAAAAAGCTCATGAGACAGAGACAGACAGACAGAAAGGCTGGCACAGACATCAGCTCTTCATTAGTTAGCTGAGCAGCTAGCCAGCCCAGCTGTGTTTGCTGGATTGGCAGCTGATCGCAGCTCTACTCGGTCTCCTTCACATACCTAAACACACAGTCACCCCAAACGCTCACATGCCGAGTTAATGCTTCACACTTCGTCCAGTGTAGTTCTAGTCAATGACTTACCCCATTTCTGCTGAGTTCCGATGCCAAGTTGACTCGAAAACGATCCCGTTGGTGGTGCCTTGTATGCGGTTAGCTGCTGTCGATCCGCTCTCTCTCTAAATAAAGCCGCTCTGATCGCTGTTGATTCACAACCGGCCAGTGGAGCCACTCAGCTGTTTTCAGTCCGACATGACTCGGTGTGTTGTTATGCCCTTGGGTACATCCCGCTGACTGGATTCGTGGGAGCACAACCTGTCGGTGCAAGCATGATGACCGACAACAGCACAGCACCCCCGGTGCTAGTCGCGGCTACCGTTAGCTCTATGAAAACCAATCACCTCGCTCACCCAGGATTACCGCGTTAGACTGACAGCAGAGGGAGCCTGATTTATAACACAATTAGGTTCGAGTCGAACCTATTAAACCAACAAAAACAAATATCAAAAGGCAGAATGCGTTTTCCCGCTGCTGGCTGTTTAATAATAAACAGGGTTTAGCCATTTAGCGTTAGCTTACAAACTAGTGATAGCTGGTGTCTTTTTTAACTAAACATCCGCTTCTCGAATTCAACAAACTATCGTTAATGAATCCCACTTTTTCATGTCTGGTAATTGACTGAAGACGTCCAGCGAGCCATTAAACGACAACTATTACAAAGATTTATCGCCGAGAGTGGGACAATTTCTGCTCCGTGGTGACAGGCATCTTCAGACGGAGCTTCATCATCACCACCGTTGCTTCAGGAGACATAAGAAAACAGAGCAAAACATCTGACTTGGTACACTCTCCGGGTTTTACCATCACGTCCCTGTCCTCTCCTGAGATTACGGCTGCTAAGCTTCAACGGTGGTAATTCATAGGCTTATCGCCGACGTGAGCTCCGACGCCTGAAATGAGGAATTTCTCGTTTTACTTCCAACGTTACTTCTCATAAACATGGACTGAGACGATGTGAAACTACGGTGCGGATGTTTCTTTGGCTGGCTCATCCTCCTTTATCACTCGCGCTCGCGCTACCTTGTTTCGGTACCTCATCTCTTTCAATGCATCTTCATTCGATGGGGCGGGGGTGGGGGCGTAACGGGTAGTTTAGACTGTGACGTAATGACGTTGATTCACTGTTCCGCCCAATCAGCGAGGTAGTGAGTAGCGCGCGCTTTTACCGCTGCTAGTTTGGGCTTGTTCGAGTTGAGCAGTGTGGAGTCAATTTTATGTCAATAAGGTCTTGCGAGTGCACGCACAATCACGAGAGGATAATTAAACGTCCGTGAGAGGATAAGTTCCCATCCACTAGCGCTCAAAAGTGTGTGTGTGTGTGTGTGTGTGTGTGCGCGCGCGTGCGTGCGTGCGTGGGTGTTTGTCTTATGTGTCTTTCTGTTGCCCTGCCAAGATCTGGCAACCTGTCCAGGGTGTACCCCGCCTGTATGCCCCTACTGCTTTAGATAAGCACCATCCCCTTGCAACCCTGCATGAACAAGCGGGTACAGATGATGGATGGATGGATGGGTGAGGGCAAAAATAAATGGGGAGAACGCTAACTCCACACAGGAATTCTGTAGCCAAGATTTGTACCTGCAACCTCCTTGCTGCAAGACATTAGTGCTACCAGCTGTTAGCGAACTAGACCAAATTCTTGCTTTGCAAAGACATCCCATATGGCTTGTCAGGCAATCCAACTGTGCCACCGTGCAGCTAAATCAGTTTTGTTGAATGAAATAAACAAATTTGAGTGTTTGACTTTCATCTGGGATAATAGATTCAAAGTAAGCAATTCTGAAGGGATGTTGTAAATACCAATTTCACTTTTCCCCTTTTTTCTCTGAGGGAGGAAGTAAAAACTCCAGAGTCACAGAAAAAACTATGAAAAAATTATAATAATAGTCTGTTACTCTGGACTTTATGATCTCCTCTTTATAAAAAAATAATGCAAATCCATAAAAGCTGAACTAGAAAAAAACAGAATAACAATATTCTTTTGTAGACTATTCAAATTCAATTCAAATTCAAAGATACTTTATTAATCACAGAGGGAAATTAGAGTTTCTGTACACACAATTCTGAGATCAGACATGCATACAGGCAAAGACACATGACAAGAATTGGTGACTGTGGTCATTTGCAACCCGAGTTGTGCTACCTTAAGATCAGAGGGGTTACATGAGGATTGGTTCAGGTGGAGGGAAAAAAAGGCACTTCAGAGTTACCCTCCACAGGGAGGGCAGCTTTGCTGTGCAAAAAAAACACCTCAGAAAGAAATGCAACAGACTTCAGACATCACACAACTTAAGTGTCCACTAGGTGGGGTGGTGGGTTTGGGACTCTCCACACGTCAGTGCCTGCAGCCACGATAAGCAGCGCCCGTCACCTCAGTTTGGACAGGGGAGGGAGGTCATTGGGGTTTGGAGAGCACAGTGACTCCTGGAACGATTCGGCGGCCTTCACAGCCCGCAGTCCTGCCCAGGCTGGGATAGGGAGACAGAGTTAACGTAGCGACGGCAGCATTCCACATTTCTTCTGAGGGGGGAGTATTCGTTGCAGCCTCATAGGCTCAAGGGCACCAGATTCAGATTAGAAATTGTTTTGGGGCCAGACAGAGATATATGTCCTTTGCTTTTCAGAGGCTGTGCACAGCGGTGGATTGTTGTACTGTAGACTCAAGTCTAAACCAGCTCGTGTGATTCCTTCGTCTTACTCAATATTTTCATTTTCAGTCAAAACTATTTTTGAGGTCAAGAAAAATTTGGACCATGATTGAGTTATTTTCATGACTTTTTCAGAATGTTACACAGACTCAAATTACACACATGCTTTCAGGGTGGTGCCACGACAATTCCATGGGCGTAGGGGGGGCAACGTCCATCTGATCGCCTCCATTAAAACTCTATGGGTGGTGGTGGCGGTTACTGGCCTGGCTCCCCCAGTTGTGACAGTTGAGGGCTTCCAGGGGAGCTCATCATACTTTCAAGGGAGTTGGGCTCCCCCTAGCTCCCCCATATTTGGAACCCTGGGCGTTACCAGTCGCTTACATTATTAACGCTGAGCAAAGGCAAATGGAAATAAGGAGAATGCCTGAGCTGGTTACAAAAGTCCCATAGTCATCATCACACCCTGGTAAAATTACATCTTTGCATTTGTGGCTGCACCTGGCAACTATTTGGTGGTTAAACCCCCAAATCCAACCCCTTAAAGCTGAGCATCTACCAGGGAGGCACTGGTCCCATTTTTTAGGGCTTGGTGTGACCCGACCGGGTTTGAACCCTGATTTCCCAGTCCCAGGGCAGATGCTCTACCACTAGGCCTTTTCTCCCCACTTAACAGACAAAATTTCATTCATGGGTGGAATGTCCCTTTAAAGGAAAAGATTTAGACAGGATGAACAGTTACACACTTTAGCCCCCCCCCCCCCCATGATGAGTCATGTCGGTTTACATGACTGATATGAACAGGTGTGAGGCCGGTGTTTTCATGTCAGAAACAAACCGTTTCTATATTTTATCTTGTGAGGAGTTCTACAGCAATTAACAGATTTAAGGCAGAACAGTGACAAGATTGTGACATGATGTTTTAATTTATTGTTTATTTATTTGTTCACTGAATTTATCATTATTAAAGGGCTAAAAATCAAACAGAACCCATTCAACTTCCATGTTTGTGACAGACTTACAGGCCAACTCATGACATCGGATACGGGCCAGCAGCACTAAAGTAAATATAGACCTGGCAAAACAATAATGAAACAGACATTTATTTAACATTTTTAAATGATTCAAAATCTAATTATGACAGGATAACCAAAATCTCATAAACCCTTATCAACCTGTCCGCTGTATAAATGTAGAGCCCCATTCTGTTTGAACAGGTGACAAATTACCTTCCCCACATGTTAGAAATGCTTCAGATGAAACACAGGAAGACTCATTTTCTATTTCAAGATTACGCTGAGCACGACAGCCCAACTCGAGCATGCTTGCTCTCAATGTCGTCAACAGAGCAGCGATAAGCTGTGCTGAGAGGCTGAAGCAAATTCATCACGAAAGGACAAAACAATGGAAACGTCAATGGAGGACTTTGCACGCTCGGATGTCGACGCTGAAATGACAATATTGACATCGGATGATGTTACAGGACAAAACACTGATCATGCAGACGAGGTGGAGAACCTCCGGAAAAGGTATTCAGGATTTAGCGCTGCCCTTCTAAAGTTTCGTGACTGATTTATTATGCTATTGGAGCTGATTAGTACCTACACTGTGTATTTAGTAGCCGCTTCTCTAATTATTGCCACGTTATAATAATAATTTAAACATGAGTTTATTATTACTTCATATATTTGCTTATCTCTTATTTTTATCTTCTTTTGCACCTAGGACTGCAGCAATTTCCTAATGTTGTAATTTCTCGCACATTTGGCAATCAAACCTGATTCTGAAACTACAAAGAGTTTTAGTAGAAACTGTTTAAAGGCATCAAATTAAACATATTCCATATAAAACTGGTATTAATGGAGATCGCATCAGCTTTTGTGAGTAAGATAGCAGCTCTGCAGTGAGATAAGTCCTTATTTTTCCTGTTTGGCATCAAAACAACTCATTTAAAGATCAAAAGTTTTTTAATAATTTGTGCTTCTTCAGTTTACGAGAGGCCGTCCACGATGACAGCATCCAGCCTAAGATGCAGTGCCTCATGATGGACTCCTCCTTCTCCATGGTAACAATGCAAAGCGAGAACAGCGGTATAGCCTGGGAGACGACCCCAAGTCCCTGTGCAACACCTTGGACACCTGAGGCCGGATCTATAGATGCTGGCTCTCCAGCTCTAGTACAGGCAGCAACAGCTGGATCTCGTCCAGCTGGAAAGATTATATTTGTCATGGATGAGGAGATGATTTCCAGGCAAAGAAAAACAAAAGAAAACATTAATAGTCAGAAGAGCAAAACTGAAAAAACAGAAGTCCTGGACGATGGCTTCGAGATGATTTTAGGACGGCCAGAACTGGTTGAAGTCTCTCAACCGAATGTAAAAGTTGAAGGAGAAACTGACCAAGAAGAAGCCACTGATCCTCTTGTCGATAAAGAGCAGTGCTTGTTCAGCATTGTGTCTGAAGGCTCTGAAATCCTTAACATCGTTGTTCCTCCTAAACTGGCCACAGTGGATGAAGAGGAGAGCAACGAATTGGTGGACAATCTGTCTTATCTAGAGGAGAGCCCTGTTCCAAAAGGCAGCGAGGAGACCCAAGACAGTGAGCCACTGAACTCTGAAGTGGAAACAGGCATGCCTCCATCTCCTAGAGGTGTGATGGATCCACCAGGGGCTCCAGTAGCCAGACCTGCTAGCAGAATACCTGCTAGAAATTTGGACTATTTTGATGCCTTCTCCTTGATAGATGCCCAAGCGCCAGGGAGTCCTGCAGTGGTCGCACATCAGCAAGAGGAACCGCAGGCAGAGCCTACCACTGAGAGCCAGGTGATTGAGAAACCGGTACGTTTGGAAGACCACGCCATCTCCAAACGGGTGGATATGGATCAATCAGACACAATCAGTTTAGAGGAACTCACCAGTGAGCTTTTAGATGAGGTCTTCTACGGCAGCGCAGACAGCTACCCTGTAAAAAGTCTGGACTCTGCAGATGAAGGTGAAGCTGAACGGGGAGCATTCAGACTCCCTTCCAAACCCAGTGGTTCAACTTTGTTCGGTAGCCAAGAGGACATCCTCACTCCAGTCTTTCTACCCGAAGGACCGCCAAAAATCATCGACCTCATTTTGCTGGAGGAGCCGAAGGCCATGGCCTTTCTTTACACAGACCTGTACGAGGAAGCACTGGGCAGCAGAAAGAAAGAAGAAGACACAGAAAGCATGACCTCTGAGAAATCCTTCCACAGCAGGAACTCAGACCGAGAGGCCAGAGGATATCTGGAGAAATTTGTCCTCATCGACGAGACTCCTGCTGTAGAGGTGGAACAACAAGATATGGAGGCATGCCCCGAGGAAGAAGAACAACGAACGTTGCCCCAAGAGTTGCTCGACTTTGAAGATTTAATGGCCTTGTCTGAAAAAGAGATGCAACACTCAGAGGAGGTCACAGACTTCTTTAGGTCCAGTGGCAATTCTTCTCCTTGTGATATAGAACCGTTCCCTCGATCATTAGAAGGCGAAGAAACAGCAACAACAAAGAGAGAAGTCAAGACACAAAAAAGTGTCTCTATAGCTGTAGAGCAGGTTCCAGAAACCACAGGAGATCAGTTTGACTCCTCTGGATTTGAGTTCACCTCAGACGAACTAGACTGGGAAATAACAGATGATGATCCTACGGCCATGCATGCTGGAGGTCAAAAAGATGAGGACGTGTGCAAACAAGATTTAGAGACAAATAAACCCGTTGCACCCCCCAGAAAGAAGATAGCCTCCTCTACTAAAGCATCCTTGGATCTGACTCCTCTGACTCCTGTTTATGTGACTGCACAAGAGAAAGAGGAGGCTGTAGGAAAGGAGCAAAGAGTGGAGGAGAAAGAGACAGCTTCACCAGTAGAGACTGCAGATGAGGGTGATGGAGACGGGGAAGAAGTCGTGCAGGCTGCCTCAGGCGTATCGGAGGCCACGCTGGTCGAAGTGAACACCGAGTCTGTAGAAAGTGAGATTGTAAAAGACAACGATGCAACACCTGCTCAGGAGAACGAAGCTAAAACAGATGGAGGACAGAGTGACACCATAACTGCTACAGAACAAATTGGACTGAAGGAGACAGATGTTAAGTCAGATGTTAAAACAGATATTATTCCAGAGTCTCAGGACAGTTCTTCTGCTGAGCCAGCTAAAACCAAAGGGCAGTGTATCATACTTTAGTTTGGCCACAGTTTTTAAAGGGGGCATATAGTAACTTTTAAAACTTGCAACAGGTCTACGGTTGATACAAAACATGTTCACGAAGTTCGTTGCCCCAAATCCCTCCCACATAAACCAATCTCACCAGCTTTATTCTTGGTAGTTTCATTACCTTCCAGAATGAGCAGTTTCAGGACGTTGTCACTTTTATGCACATAAGCGGTTGCTGGCCACGCCTACCCACTCCCTGACTGGCTGCTATGAGGTGAGGAGATCAGATATGTGGAGGGGCCTGGAGTAGACCTGCTGCTCCTCCAGCCTGGAGAGGTGAGAGGTTGAATATCTGTGAAGCACTTTGTGATTTCTATCAGTGAAAAAGTGCTATATAAATAAACACTTTCTCTTATGCTAATGTTCCTTTGTTGTGATGTCACAATAAGGGATATTTTTAAACTGTTTAAATTTAAAATAGAATGATGGGTTTAATTGGTGTTTGAGGTGTTCATGGAGGCAGTAGAGACTCACATGACTGCACAAGAAGATACAAAATGTGAGTTTTGCACAATATGTCCCCTTTAAAGCAAGTTCAAATTTTCAAATGAGGCATCAACTTGCTAGCTGACAAACCGTAGCAGTAGCAAAAAGATTTAGCTCTGAAGGTTGATCTAGCCATGCTCCACTGTAGCATCAGCAGGTCTACCATTGGCTTGACTAAGTGTAATGGGCTCGACACACGGGAGGCGACTAACGACCGGGATCAGCGAAATGTGTCGCTGTCGCTTTTATTACCTGACACACGGGAGGCGATCCGCGGCAGCGACCAGTGGCAAAGCCGTCTACGCGTTCTGTTCCATGGCGAAATCGAATCTTCCGTTGTTTTGCTTGGCTGTGTCAGGTTGGAGGGAATTAAGGTTATTTAAGCGGTTCAGAGTTAATAAAGCGGTAGATATGATGTTTCACAAGGTGCTGCTAGAGTTATGTGAAATCTTACTTCTGATTTTACTACATAAAACATAATAATAATCAACTTCTCCTTCATGTTTGCTCGGAGATGTACGGAGCATCCTGCCCGCTCATTGGTCAGTGAATGAAACCTCCGTTGATTGGTCCTCGTCCGAGCGACAGCGATGAAAAGTTGAAAATATTTCAACTTTCTGGGATCGCGTCGCTGGGTCGCCTGTGCACGACACGTGCACAAGCGCAAAATTTCACACACACGTTTTTCGCGTTTTGCTTGGTAGGAGGGAGACCCGCGATTATCGCTTTGTCGCACATGTCTCATTGAAAATGAATGGAGGAGAGGCGATGTCGCCTCCCGTGTGTCGAGCCCATAAGCCCGGACAATCACAGAGCTCAGTGTTTGTAGAGCGACTTTGGGTGGACTTAGTACCATTACAGCTGATTTGTTTTTGTTTTTTTACAACGCTGGCAGAGCAAAACTACAAATACGGTGGTGCTCAGGAATGGATTTGAAATGGCTTTAGCATCAGTTTTGTACCACTTAGACTTGGGCTTTTGTTTGAGACATGAGCAGATAGAGGCACTTAAGTCATTTAATAAAAAATTTTGTAATTTCTGCTTCTGCATCTTCTTCTCGGACAGTGGCGGACTGCCTAATTGACTGGTTTCCACAGTGATGACATGTCATTGCTCTGATTGGTCAATTGCTCTGTGCAGAGACAGTTGGAAAGACAACCATAGATTTCTCTCCTTAGATTGAGCTCTCTATGGGTCATGGCCAGATTAAATATTTATAGGATCGCTAGCCAGGCTATCAAACTGCTGTTCTCCACAACATTGCATACGAACACGGGATAGGCCTAATGTTTAGTCAAAAACAACAGTTGTCGTTTCGGCGATCAAATTGTTCCAGGTGAACCCTTCACACCAACAGCAGCAGTTTGGGTCATGGGTGCAGATGGAAAGGGCGAGAGCACATATGTGACGTCAAGGTGAATCTTCAGCTATAAATAAGCCCTTCTGGCTGTTAACCTGACCCGTCGCTTCCATTAGGGGTCTGTACTGAACAGTCGCTTGTAAACAGTCAAAAAAATTAAATAAAACAAATTAAACTTGTGCATACAAGTCTTTTTGTCCAGGAATACTGTAATATCACTATAATATTACTACTAATAATATACTAGTGTAATTTTAATAAATCAACTATGTGTGTCTGCTGAATAAACCCATTCTCAGTCAGATTTAACAGTGGTCCGTTTTTTGCCACATATAAATGTTTCAGATCAGCAAACCTTCTTCAACTAAGGGGGAAAAACACCATACAAGCTGCCCCATGTTTAGCACCTTGTGGTTGTTTCCTAATGTATCATCTGGAGCCTAGGAGTGATCCATTGCAAAGGGATCGAGCTAAAGCACACACGCTTGAAGAAACAAGGTGTAAATCTGCAGGACAAAGAGAAAACACAGTAGTGAAATTAAACCTGGAGTAAAGGTTTTAGGGATGTGAAATCTACTGTAAAGGCTGGTGTTTGGAAACCATTTATTCCTCTTCTCCAAACCAGCAGGTGATCTGTGCTGGATTTTGATCTTTTGACCCAAAAGCTGCTTAAATCAGAAAAAAAAGGTCTCCAATAATTGTACATTAAAAACGTTTTTTTAAACCAAGGAAGTAGACATTTGAGAACAAACTAGCCAAGGTAAATAGTGAAGATTTAAATTCAAGGAATAGAGAGCCTAAGTCACTTCCGGGGACCCATGATGCGGAAGTGCGGAGTCTGGCCAAGATGGCGGTCCGAGCAGGCAACTCTTTCTCTCTCACGCTGTCCCAAAATACAAGCCAAGACCTCAACTTTTCAAAATCATAGAGATTTACGTTGTATTTACTATATCTCGAAACGCCGATACAAACAAATATTGGGACAAGCTCAGAATTTACCTAAAAGCAGAAAAATGTCACGAGAAAGGCCTGATCCTTCTGCTAAGCTAGCTTTAGCAACCAAGGTCTCTGCTACTGGTGCTCATGGATACTCGATGGATTTTTCAACCACATCAACCAAAAGAAAAACCCCACCTACTCCAACTAAATCTCAAACACATCCCAGCGAGGTAACTGTGCCCCTGAATGCTGAAGAAAAAAAATCCTATAGTAGAAGCTATTAACAAGCTCTCAAACAAGACTGATGACTTTGGAGCAAAGCTAACTGATATAATGGTGGCTAACCTTTCTAAGCTGGCAGAAATGAATGCAGCCGACATTAAGGACTGTAAATCTAAACTGATAACCTTGGAAAAGAATATTCCGGTTCTTGTCAAGGAGAACATCGAGCTGAAAGAAAGAGTCCTGGAAAAAGAACGATATAAGCGCCGCTGGAATCTAAAACTCCATGGCTTGAAGAAAAAAATGGTGAAGATGCTCGCAAAGAAGTTATTGACATCTTAGCTAAGATTGCTCCTCACTTGGCTTCTTCGCTGGACAGCTCCGTGGACATCGTACATCGCCTGGGGAAAAAGGTTGGGGACAAGCCTCGCCAAATGATAATCCAATTCACCCTGAGACATCTCCGAGACGTCTTCTGGAAGCTGACTAAAGATTCCAGAATCTGCAAAGAGCTCGGAATCTACTTCAAGCAAGACTTCTGCAAGCTAGACAGGGAAGCAAGAGCTGCAGCCTGGCCCAAGATGGAGCAAGCCAAGGCGGAGGGGAAAAACGTCTACTACTGAGGGAACATCGGATACATCAATGGAGTTTAGGTATTACCTGGTTAACTGTAGCTGTCTGAGAGTTCTATTTGTGAACATCGTTCCACCAATGCAACCTATTTGCAACATAACGTTACATGTTGTACTTCTATGCTGACCTTGTTTATCTATGAAGGTTCAGTGGTTTGTTTGTATAACCTTTTTAGTACTTTATTTTACATTCTTAGAGGTCGTTACTCTAAAAGCGGTTAAGGGATTTAGTGTCTACATCTTTCTAGTATATACTTTATACTAAGTTTACTAGTTCATTTACATATCATTATTATTTTCCTAATTTTTGTCTTCTCCTTTCATGTCCTGTCTTCATTTTAAATGTGCATCTTTAATTACTAGGGGTTTGAGAGGCAGCGTTAAAAGAAAATCAATTTTACTCTTTTGTACAAGTGTTAAAGCTGACTACATAGTCTTACAAGAAACGTACTCCGTTGAAGCAGATGAAAATTTTTGGGCTAACCAATGGGGAGGAAGGTTGATTTTCGGCCATGAAACCAATAAGTCAGCTGGTGTAGCCATTTTGTTTAGGAACTCACGTGTCAAAATTGAAACTCAAAGGAGAGAAGATTATGGCCATTGGCTAATCTGTGTACTCATACTGGAAAATTGCCCCTGATTCTTTGCAATGTTTATGGTTACAACAATACTAGAATAAACTTCTGTTAACTGACATTACCAATCACCTGAAATAACTATTTCACAAATATGGTACAAGGAATATTATTCTGGGTGGAAATTTCAATATGGTTCATGATGAATGGTTTCATTTCTCAGCATCTAAATTCAACTCTACAGAGCCTCTGTTTAGATCTTATCCTCACTGATCCACGGAGAATGGCAAATCCACTTTCTCAATCGTTTTCTTGGTTTAAACCTGATGGCTCGGCTAAGTCTCGGATCGATTTCTGGTTGATCTCTGATGATTTAATGCTGCATAATGTGGATGCTGGTATATCAGCTTAACTGATCACTGTTTGATACTACTTAATATTAAACTGCAAAATAAAAAATTTTGTAATAAAGGCTACTGGAAATTTAACTCAACCTTACTCTACAATGAAAATTATAATAAGATGATCAACTAAAAGGCACTCTTACTGATGAAAGTATTAAATCTTATACAGAAAAATGGGAATTCTTCAAGTTCAAAGTTCACCAAATTTTAATTAAACACAGTAAGCTAAAAGCCATCCATAATAACCTAAAGGAGACCAAAATTATAAGCAAACTTCATCGGATCTGTCCCAAACCTGTATATAATGAGGATGACAAATGCTGGAAAAAGATTGTACAAACCTCTCTGGATTACGTTTATGTTAAAAAAGCCAAAGGAGACTATCTTAGATCTCGAGCCAAATGGGTAGAAGAGGGTGAGAAAAGCACCACATATTTCTGCAGATTAGAAAAAATAAGACAAGAAAAAAAGCTATAAGTACTTTAACAAATTAATGGTCAAATAAATAAATTTCGAGAGAAATGTTTAATTTTTGCAGCAAATTATATGTCTCATCTTTCTGCAAAACTTCAAATGAGACTTTTTTCAATCCATTCAACACTTGATCCCTACAATTGATGAAAACTTAAAGCGGACATGTGAGGCAGATCTTACCATAAGAGCCAGGTAATGCATTAGCCTGTTTCCATGCTTTCGTTCTTTTTAAACACAGAAACAGTTTTGTTTACCTGTTTTGTAGCTACAGTTTCGCCGACGGCTGCCGGCTTCTTCAGGCTGACACTGAAGAAGCCGGCAGCCGTCGGCGAAACTGTAGCTACAAAACAGGTAAACAAAACTGTTTCTGTGTTTAAAAAGAACGAAAGCATGGAATTAGAACCATGACACAGCAAGAACACACCTAAGATTAGCCTATTTGCCAAATGATAAAGCCCCAGGCTGTGAAGGCCTTACAAGTAATTTCTACAAACACTTCTGGATTCATATTAGATCCTTAATCTTTGAAATGTTTAAGGAAATTAAAGAGAATGGCTCTCTCACACATACTATAAAACAAGGGGTAATTACTCTTATTCTTAAACCAGGTAAAGATTCAACTATTCTTGACTCTTGACCTTCTATAACACTGTTAAACAACGATCATAAGCTCCTTAACCACATTTTTGCAATTAGATTAAAAAGGTATAACTCAAATGATCTCTTGATACACAATCTGGTTTTCTCAAAAGCAGCTCCATTCACAATAATAATCGTCTTGTGTCTAATTGACTATAACTACCTAATTCAGAATGAAGGTTTTATATTATTTTTAGACTTTTACAATGCCTTTGATATGATAGAACAATTTATGTTTCAAACACTTAAACTCTGGTTTTGACAATAACTTCATTAATGTAATCAAACTTTTATACAAAGTTACAACCAGTTCAGTATCTCTTCCTTGCGGTTCGTCTCAAAGATTCCGTATTAATAAAGGCAAAAAACAAGGATGTCCAATTTCCCCTTTACTTTTTATTGCTGCAACAGAAAAGCTTGCCATTCTTATTAAATCTGCAGATTTTGGTAAATTAACAGTTTTGGGCAAGGAACTCTGTGTCAGTCAGCTTGCAGATGACAAGACCATTTTCTTAAAGAGCAAGTCACCCCCAAATCAACTTTTTTTCTGATAAACTATATAAACGCGTGTCTAATCGTGCTGCAGACACGTGTTGTCAATAGTTTTGCACTTTAGTGCATTTTAGTTCAAATTGTAATTTTCTGCCTGAAACTGTCACCCCTTCTTTCCACCGGAGCCGTCAGCAGCACGTTACTGCAGCAGCACGTCTTGCTCCCGTAAGCTGCTGCTTGGCCCTTCCCATGAGACGCGAAGCAGCAGGGGAGCAGCTGTCACCGACAGAGCACGAAGTCACACGAGTGACTTCGTCAGTAAACACAACAACAAGCAGGAGAAAACTACAACATAGCTCCAGAAGGTTTGTGTTTTACTTTCTGTCCGTTTTATAATCGCCAATACGGACCTGAAAAACAAAGGAGACTGCTAGCTAGGTGATAACTTCTCACGGGGCCGCACAGTTAGTTACTTTTTTTTAAAGCAAAGCAACCGGAAGGCAGTACGTTTCTTTATTCTGAAAATCTCGGGAGCTTCACTCCGTTTCCGCATCCGATTTCCTGTCTTTCCTTCCCCAAAAATGTCGAACTTGACCCGTTTCAGAGGCGTTGCGCACAGAAAATAGAACCGGCGCCTAAAGGCCGCGACATGCTGCTTCTGAGACGCGGCCGACTCGCGCTGCTGACGACTCCGGTGGAAAAGGTTCTGTTGACCACAGCGGTTCCTATCAGCAGCTATGACGTGCTGCTGCAGTAACGTGCTGCTGACGGCTCCTGTGGAAAGAAGGGGTCAGTGTTTTGCCGTTGTCAGGTAACAACTCTGCACCGCATTTGAATTTAAATCTGCCTTCGCTATTGGCTAAGAGGTACCCTAGAATGTTAGCTGGTACCATATGATATCACAATGTTATTGTGAGCCTGTGTGTATTTGTTAGCGACTCCGCCCTCTCAGTCTGCTAGGCAACACCATTTGTTGCATTTTTCAAACAGGATGTAGGAGTGGAGTTAGACTCTGGTAGGGGGGGTGACTTGCTCTTTAAACAACCTGAATGAAATTCATAAAATTCTCTAAATCATTTAGCTCTTCTCCAAAGCTTCAGGATTGAAACTAAATTTTAAAAGTGAGAAATTCTGCCCCTGAAAGATTGCTCTAAGTCTTCAACATTTAATATCCCTATAAAATCTGCTGTCAAATATCTGGGCATGTATTTCTCCAAAAAAGACGCCGACTTAATTAATATTAACATTAGGAAGAAGTTGCAAAAATGCAATCCTCATCTAAATAACTGGTTACAGAGACATTTCTCTATTCTGGGAAGAATATTCCTCACCAAAACGGAAGCTGTTTCCAGACTTGTATACCGGCATATTCATTAGGAATTCCTAAATCAGAAATTAAAGCTATTAACCAATTAAGTTTGAACTTTATCTGGAAAAGGAAAATACACTTCATCAGACAAAGAAATTTAATTAAAAACTTTGAAGAGGGTGGTTTGAAAGCTATTGAATTTGACAGTTTAAATGGCACCCTAAAAGTGAACTGGCTACGACTGTTTTTGAAGAATCAAGACAACCTATGATTCCATATCCCGAACCAAATCTTCCCCAAAGTGGGTGGCATCAATTTTTTACTTAAATGTGATTTTGATATTAACAAATTACCCTTGAAACTTTTTTCTTTCCATCAGCAATTCCTATTGTATTGGAGACTAATTTATAAACATAACTTCAGTACACACAATACGCCTCTGTGGAATTGTCGTTACAGAAATACAGAAATAAATACAGAAATAAATCCTTTTTCACGCAAAGTTGGTATGACAAGGGCATTTGGCCGGTTATGCACTTACTAAATGATAATGGCTTCCTTTCACTTAGAGAATTTAATTGTAAATATAACCTGCAAATAGATGACAAAGAATTTCAGAAAATCATCAGAGCTATCCCCCCAAATATAATGTCTTCCTGCATCATTTATCAAAATCCTACTTTACAAACTCCTGTTCTTCCTGAGCTTTTAACCCTCCCACTGTCCTATTGGGTGTGACCCCACGAGGAAAGTTGACCATTGAGCAGGATTGATGGTTTATCCCTTGGGTCCACGTGGCAGGGGTGAGGTGGTGCTCACTCCTCACCCCTGCCACATGGACCCAAGAGACAAACCATCAATCCTGCTCAATGGTCAATTTTCCTCGTGGGGTCACCCATAAAGACAGTGGGAGGGTAAATTGATGATCACGACATCACTGCAAATAGATTTAAAAACCCGATAATCAGGAAACTATTCACTAATTCTGTGTTGAACATATCGAATCAACTGTTCATTGATTCTATGACTGTAAATAGCCTACAGCAAGGCCCTCTGGGATGATGTACACTACTGGCTTTTCTCTAAGATACCAAATTTAAAAGAACTTTCCAACAATTAGATAATTTTTGGGACTTTTATTGACAATTAAAAAAATAGCAATCGTCTTGAGTGTAATAATCATTATGAGTAAATTTTTTGTTCATAAATGTAGATTTTTGAAAACCTAACCTTACCTTTCACAAAGAACTCTGGCACTTCTTTGCTTCCATGGGGTTTATGGGAAAAAACAAGCTGTGTATCTGCTTTATGTAGTAGATTTGAATCTACTTGACATCCCCTTAATTGTATTAGTCTATTCTGTTTAACCCCCCCCCCCCCCCTCCATTATTTTATTATTATTATTTATGTCTATTCCTATGTTTGTCATCTTTGTGTATGACAGCCTGCTTTGGTACTCTTTCATGTTGGAAAATGTTTCTGTTGATACGTTTGTTGTATGTGTCTTGTTCTTCAATAAAAATGTTTAAAAAAATCGTTGGTTTCTGCTTCTGCTAGTCAGGTGTCGCCATCTTGTGACGATTTGCTAACACAACATAGACAAATTTTCCTTACGTGTGAAGGATATTTGAATTAATTATGAATTGATACAAAAACAGTAAAATAAATAAATAAACTATACAAGAAAGCAAAAGGTTTATGTATTGTTGCTGATAAACCTTTTAGACACCAGGCACTCATATGTGGCGCTGCGTTTGAGGTCTTGTGCCGTATCCGGTGACAACAGCTTTATTGAACAATTTAGATGAAAGAAAATCAAAGCAGGCCTAATAAATGCCAAGTTTGAACCAACTTATCCTGTAGCGTACAAAAGTAACAAGTACATTTGATTGAAATATATTTGCACGAACAATGTGAACCTTTTTTATTTAAGTAAAAAGCTACTATTTCCGAGTCACGCGAATACAACACTAACGACCTAGCTTCTTGCTAACGCCACAATGGAAAATGCTTCTTCTTTGTGCTCTGTTGTTTCTCCCGAAGAATACGAACTGAAGAATTGTGACAGCTGTCCCACAAACGATGGGTTAGTCGACGTTTTTGGAGATCTGGCTGCTCTTCCGGTGGAAGTTGAAGAAAGAAGGCCAACGTGTTTACGGTGCCGGTAAGCTAAATACAGTTAAGCTAATGCTAGATAGCCGAATATTGGACCATGAAGAGAAAGCAACGCACCCCCATCCCACTTTCTTTTACGTAATCGACATGCTTTAATTGCGGAACATATTAATGTCGTTACAGAAAATTAGAGACCAACTAAAACAGTGATGTAGAGCGGGCTCTAGGCTGGGGAATATCTGAAAAATCACAGCTTCACCTTTCCCCCTTGCAGCCGCCCTCAGAAGGTGTGTCTCTGTCCTTTTCTTCCACCACAGCCCTTGGAGGTGTCAACGTGTTTGTACGTAGTGCAGCATCCTGCAGAGGTGAGCAATGAAGTAAAAACAATGAAGATTAGCTTTTAACATGAAAGCAGAATATAAAAAGATGGGTAAAAGTTAAAGGATTGTAATGGATTGGTTGCAATTAAACGAATGGAAATGAAGTTTTAAGTTTGAATATTAATTTCTAATTAAATCTGTTGTGCTTTTAGGAAAGTCGAGTGCTTCGGACCGTGCCTCTTCTTGCTGCTTGTTTGCCACAAGGAAAATGCAATGTCATTGTAGGAAGAAGATTCAATGAGGAAAAGTAATATTCTGTATTTTTATTTACACCAAAATTGCCCACATGTCCTTTAAAAAGCTTGATTTCTCAAAACATTTTCACCCCAGGCATCCAGAGTTAGCTGCTGTGTGTCGAGACGAGAGAACGCTCATCCTGTACCCCGGTCCGAAATCCCAGAACCTGGAGGAGTTGGTGCGACACAGAGAGATCGACACTGTTAAACACAATGTGATCATCATAGATGGCACCTGGAGCCAGGCTAAAAACATGTTCCTGAAAAACAGCATGTTTCACCTGCCGAGTCAGGTGCGTACAACTGAAGTGATCCCATTGAAAAGTGGAGCAGATGGAGTGTGAAATGGTCTCTGAAAAGGCCGGTCATTGATCAAATGTTTAAATCACAGATGAGCAATAAAGAAGACTCCTGTTTCCATGACAAAAAAACAATTAGTGCAATAGTGAACGTATTAATGTGATGCCACAGACAAACACAAGAGTTTAAAGAGCAAGTCACCCCCTACCAGAGTCTTGCTCACTCCCACTTCCTACTTGAAAAAGGCAACAAATGCTGCTGCCTGATAGATCGAGAGGGCAGAGCCGCTAATAAATACATGCATACACAGGCTCACAACAATATTGTGACATCATAATGTACCAGCTAGAGCTGGGCAATAAATAGAAAATGTATCGTTATTGAAATTTCTGACTTTTATCGAGAATTTTTACCATGTCAATAAATTTGATAATAAAAAATGAAAAGATGTGTGTAGGTTGGCAACGTTCGTGTTCCTTTAAAGAGCAAGTCACCCCCAATTCAACTATTTTTTCCCTGATAAACTATATAAATGCGTATCTAATCGTGCTGCAGACACGTGTAGTCATTAGTTTTGCACTTTAGTGCATTTTATTTAAAATTTAAAATCTCTGCCTAAAACTCAGTGTTGTGCCATTGTCAGGTAAAAACTCTGCACTGCATTTGAATTTAAATCTGCCAACGCTAATGGCTAAGAGGTACCCTAGAATGTTAGCTGGTACCATATGATGTCACAATGTCGTTGTGAGTCTGTGTGTGTGTATTTGTTAGCTGCTCCACCCTCTCAGTCTGCTAGGCAACAGCATTTGTTGCATTTTTCAAACAGGAAGTGGGAGTTGAGTAAGAATCTGGTAGGGGGTCTCAGCTAGTAAAAGCTATGTTTATGTTTATGTTTATTCATTTCGCAGACACTTTTATCCAAAGCGACGTACAATTTTTATAACCTATAGGGCATGTTGTGATCTGTGGGGGAAACCGGAGTACCCGGAGGAAACCCACGCATGCATGGGGAGAACACGCAACTCCACGCAGAAAGGCGAGTTTTGAACCTGCAACCTTCGTGTTGCGAGGCAACAGTGCTAACCACTGCGTCACCATGCAGCTAACCATTAGCATTAGCAACTCCACAACATGGCGAAACATATTCAGGTTTTTGTTATTTGTGGAGATAAAACATCAATGTTGCATTTTTTTTACCCAAGAAACAAGTGAATGGAGGCAGCAGAAGAGTCGTGTTGCTGTTAACCAATTAGAGACTACAGCAGATTTACTGAAAAAACAAGCGTGTGAATGGGAGCTTTATAAGAGTTCAGTTGAAACAGTTAGATTAAATTTCTCATCCATGTCCAGAGGGTCATATAACTGATTCTCTTTGCTTTATTTGTCAAGGTGCAGCTCAATAGGACTCTGTCGAGCCAGTATGTGATCCGAACCCAACCTTCCAACATTTGCCTGTCCACGTTGGAATGTGCTGCTGTCGCCTTATCAGTGCTGGAGAAGAATGACCAGATCCTAGAGGTGATTTAGAAACCCACCAGTGGCTTGTGACTTTTTATCTAAGAGGATGGACGCCATCTGAGTTCCTGTTTTAGCTAAATATAAGTTCTTTAAACACATTAAGATCAGGAAATGTATACATTTTCAAACAACTTTAAAGATTTCACTGATTTCATCAGATTGCTTGATAACATAGCTAGTGCTGTCATGAGATTTAAAGAAATTGAAAGATAAATTTTGATTTGTGAATTCCCATCCATACGACTGACAACTCTCTTGTAATTCTCCATTTTTACATCTCGTCTCTGCATCTCACCTGTCTTCACCTCACCTGCCAACGGAAGCCTGCATGCAGAAACAATAAATGTAAACATTAAAAATGAGGTTAACGCACAAATTATGACCATAATTAATTAATTATAATTAACATGACAATTTCATACCCCTAAATAATTTTTTTTTTGCTAAGCACGCCCTCTGCCCCGCAGAGCTCTGTGCAATAGGAAACTGAGCGCCGACCAGGACTAACCAATAGCGTTAGACTACCGCTTATGTGCTTCAAATTTAAGGAATACCAAGGCTGATGCAGAGTTGATGAACTTTTCACGGACAAGAAAGTCTCTAAAATATAAATATATGAGAACACAACATGACATGAGAATAATACTCGTAAAACAACGTGTTTTAGCTGTTTGTCGGCTACAGAAGCACATTTATAAACAGAAATGTGAAGTCGCCATCTTAAAAAAAACAGAGGAACAGATTTTTTGTGTGATGCTTGTCAGCCACTAGATGGTGCCATCAGATAAAAGAAATACTCCGGAAAGAAGCTTTAAAGAGCAAGTCACCCCCAAATCAACTTTTTTTTCTGATAAACTATATAAATGCGTGTCTAATCGTGCTGCAGACACATGTAGTGAATAGTTTAGCACTTTAGTGCATTTTAGTTCAAACTTAAAATTTCTGCCTGTAACTGTCAGTGTTGTGTCGTTGTCAGGTAAAAACTCTGCACTGCAGTTGAAAAATCTGCCATCGCTATTGGCTAAGAGGTACCCTAGAATGTTAGCTGGTACCATATGATGTCACAATGTCGTTGTGAGCCTGTGTGTGTGTGTGTGTGTGTGTGTGTGTGTGTGTGTGTGTGTTAGCGGCTTCGCCCTCGGTCTGCTAGGCAACAGCATTTGTTGCGTTTTTCAAACAGGAAGTGGGAGTGGAGTAATACTCTGGTAGGGGGTGACTTGCTCTTTAAGCCACAGATGACCATGTTGAGATATTTTCACAGAAAATTTTCTTTGTTAACTTATATTTAAATGCATTTGGTAACATCCACAAATACGTACAATAAATGCTCTTTTTTTCTGACCAGTGCCCGTGATGCGTTAACGAGAAGCCATTTTTTTACTTGTTGATTTTTAAATATGATCAGTCACTCTGAGTTTAACATGTAGGCTGAATGTGACAATAGTCTTCTACCCCCATTTTCCACATTAGCTGCCAAAACAAAATAGACAGGGAAACGCTCAGGTAAGAAAAAGCCACACAGATAGACATTGTGCAGATTATTACCATTCGTGGACTCTCCCATCTTGACTTGTGACGGGGAAGGCTGTTATTTAGCATCCAGGGGAGAGTAGCGCACGTCTCAGTTAGTAGAAGCTAACCGGTAGGATTAGCAACTTCACCACACAGGAGAACTCCTTCAAGCTTGTGTTATTTGTGGATATAAAACATCAACGTTGCAGAACAAACAGCGTCAGTCATAGAGTTGCGTTGCTGTTAGCTAATCAGAGGCAAGATGTTAGAATATCAGGAAATAAGACTCCAAATCATGTCATTCTGAGCTCCAGCTAACTTCTACTGCCTCAAACATAAGCGCTGTAGCCTTTTCCCCACAGAGATCCACTCACAAGGCATTAATTTGTCATAGAGACCACTGTTGATGCGTTGAAATAAAAACAAGTGAACTTCGTCTTTAAAAAAATTTAAAGGGACTTTACGGAGTTTTGAATTTTTATGCTCGCGATTGCCCCCTCTGGCCAAAAGCGTAACGGCAGCTTCAATAGGAGGCTCGTGCGCATGCTGTACGTGCACACTCCTTAACGAAAATAACAGCTGAGACGAAGCTCTGTGAAGCTGACAGAGGTCGCGGGGGGGGGGGGGGGGGGGAGGACAGAGGACAGGAGAACGAGCAGCTAATTATTTAAATAATTAGGTTCTGTACTTTTCTCTTCAGGACAGCCGACAAAGGTTTATGATGGGTCAGTCCTCCTGCATGCTCAGATCATTCCCTTCCCTTACTTGAAAAATTGTTCCAAAATGAAAGTTGAACCCACATCTTTTTTATCTGTGAATTGAATGCCGTTCGGCGAGTCTCAAATAAAAATTTGGGCATCTTACTGTAAAAAAATATATCATTAATGTAAAAACAAACTTCTGAAACAACCATGCTCACATCCAGAATCGAACCCGGGTCTTCGGCACAAAAGCCTGAATTCTTACTAGGCGAGCTAAATCGCCAGTAGCGTCTTCTGTATCTGTTACATTTATATCCTTCATGACAGCTGAAACAACGTTCAAAAACGGTTCGGAGGGCGATGCCTGAGCGTGAACACGCATGAAGCAGCCTGCTCGACCCGATCAACTCTCTTTTTCTGTGATTTTACAGAAAAACAGGTAATCACATTAAAAATGCCAGGGCTCATTCTACAGGACCAGGGCGTTGCAGGAGAATGTATGAAGAAGAAATTTATTATTTCTATACATGTTTTGGCTGTCAAACTTCCATAATGCCCCTTTAAACCAGTATACAGGTGCTGGCCAGTAAATTAGAATATCATCAAAAGGTTGAAAATATTTCAGTAATTCCATTCAAAACGTGAAACTTGTACATTATATTCATGCAATGCACACAGACCAATGTATTTCCGATGTTTATTACGTTTAATTTTGATATTTATAGGTGACAACCAATGAAAACATCAAATCTGGTATCTCAGAAAATTAGTATATTCTAAAGGCCAATGAAAAAATGTTTGTTTCTCTAATGTTGGCCAACTGAAAAGAATGAACATGAAAAGAATGTGCATGTATAGCACTCAATACTTAGTCGGGGCTCCTTTTGCCTCAATAACTGCAGTAATGCGGCGTGGCATGGACTCGATCAGTCTGTGGCACTGCTCAGGTGTTATGAGAGCCCAGGTTGCTCTGATAGTCGTCTTCAGCTCCTCTGCATTGTTGGGTCTAGCGTATTGCATCCTCCGCTTCACAATACCCCATAGATTTTCTATGGGGTTAAGGTCAGGCGAGTTTGCTGGCCAATCAAGGACAGGGATACCATGGTCCTTGAACCAGGTGCTGGTGGTTTTGGCACTGTGTGCAGGTGCCAAGTCCTGTTGAAAGGTGAAGTCTGCATCCCCATAAAGTTGGTCAGCAGCAGGAAGCATGAAGTGCTCTAGAACTTCCTGGTAGACGGCTGCATTGACCCTGGACCTCAGGAAACAGAGTGGGCCAACACCGGCAGATGACATGGCACCCCACACCATCACTGACGGTGGAAACTTTACACTGGACCTCATGCAACGTGGATTCTGTGCTTCTCCGCTCTTCCTCCAGACTCTGGGTCCTTGATTTCCAAAGGAAATGCAGAACTTGCTTTCATCAGAAAACATAACTTTGGACCACTCAGCATCAGTCCAGTCCTTTTTGTCCTTGGCCCAGGCGAGACGCTTCTTGCGCTGTTTCTTGTTCAAGAGTGGCTTGACACACGGAATGCGACACCTGAATCCCATGTCTTTCATGAGTCTCCTCGTGGTGGTTCTTGAAGCGCTGACTCCAGCTGCAGTCCACTCTTTGTGGATCTCCCCCACGTTTTTGAATGGGTTTGTCGTCACAATTCTCTGCAGGGTGCGGTTATCCCTAGAGCTTGTACACTTTTTTCTACCACATTTTTTCCGTCCCTTCGCCTGTCTGTTAATGTGCTTGGACACAGAGCTCTGCGAACAGCCAGCTTCTTTAGCAATCACCTTTTGTGTCTTGCCCTCCTTGTGCAAGGTGTCAATGATTGTCTTTTGGACAGCTGTTAAGTCAGAAGTCTTCCCCATGATTGTGGTGCCTTCAAAACAAGACTGAGGGACCTTTTAAAGGCCTTTGCAGGTGTTTTGAGTAAATCAGCTGATTAGAGTGGCAGCAGGTGTCTTCTATATTCAGCCTTTTCAGAATATTCTAATTTTTTGAGATACCAAATTTGGAGTTTTCATTAGTTGTCACTTATGAATATCAAATTTAAATGTAATGAACATTGGAAATACATTGGTCTGTGTGCATTGCATGAATATAATGTACAAGTTTCACGTTTTGAATGGAATTACTGAAATATTTTCAACCTTTTGATGATATTCTAATTTACTGGCCAGCACCTGTAGTAGCCTGCTGGGAAAAGTCGCTATCTTCACATTTTGCCTGTACACTAAAACCCCCAAAGTTGTCTTTGTCAGCATTACTTCATCACTCCCCCCCCCCCCCCCCCCCCCCAACATTCCTGTCAGTTTCAGTCTTGCCCCAAAGTTCGTGAAAATCTATAAATTTGCCACATTGTTCAAAACAAAAAAAGTAGTGCCCTACATTTGGACTGGACTGAGCCCTGCACATAAATAGCTTGTCTAGTTTTGTGTTGACTGCAAAATCCAAATACTCAGTCTGATTTTCATCACTTGCAGGTTTTGTTGAGGCCACTAAAAGCCCTGTGCTCCTTCCAGCTGCAGCATGGTGCTCAGATTCATCACAGCAAAGAGCACCTGCTCAGGAACGGCATGTACGACAAACCCATGCCCAAGAACAAACGCAAGATAAAGAGGATGGAGAAACTCATCACAGACCACAACATCTGCCCAAGATGAGGAATGAACGGACTAAAGAGAGGAGTTAGATTTGTTTGGGAGTCAGCTGACTTGGACTGAAACACCGGGTACACACGTGCAAACAACCAAACTTTTTAACTTTTCAAACGTTTGAATTATGTTGTTCTATTGAATATTTATTATGAATTCTAAACTATTTCAAAACTGGGAGTATTTTAGTATTTATTGAGCCAGACATCTCACTGCTGATGTGAAACTAGCTTATAAAGTTTCATGTTAGATAAAAAAAAGAGAAAACAGCCCTTCTACAGCCCACCTGCAGAAGGGCTGATTCAGTTCATGTTGATGAGCAGGCTTCAAAAAAAAAAAAAAACAACAGTAAAATTACCAAAGATTAAAACTTGTGTCAGTTACAAATGTATATTATTCATGTTTATTTTCACGATCACCATAACTTAAAAACGTGTCATTATAAAAGCATTTTGATGCTTTATTAGACCTAGAATGGCCAAAGATAGGATTTACACGTCTAATAAAAAATGTGTTTCCTTCACTAAAAACACAACTGGTAAATTTCAGATTCATAAATATTAGGTCGACGCACAAAAATGAACTTTTGAATGATTAAGATCACAGATGATGAAATCATGTTGAAGGGCTTTGTGTAAGTTGGTGTCACGTTTTGATAAATAACATAATTTGAAATTTTGAGGATAAACTACAGTTTGTACATTAATGACAGACACTTTTTAAATTTCGGTTATGTTTGTAAAGATCAGTTTAAGGTTAGTGGTGTACCTGTAAACAATCCCCCATTTACAATTATCACATTTAACTTATAGAACCGTTCATGGAGTAGAAATGTTTTTATTTATCTTTGTAAATGTACAAACAAATGTCAAAATCTAGTCATTGACATATAAATCTAATAAACTAAAAGCTCTTTTCCTGGGGTGTTTGTTGAAATGTTAAAATGCAACTTAATGCTGGTTTTTCATGTACCGTGTTTTCACAAGATGTATTCATTAGCTTTTATTGGCTAAAGGAAGCCGGAACTTTTTTAGATGTGAGCCTTTAAAATGAACAAAATTTTCTGCAAGAAAAACAATGTAATGTTTTGTACAAGAAAAGATACAATTATTGCACCAAGCATCTAGAAAGGGGTAAAAATTGAAGTCACATTTATCACCAGTCTTAAAAAAACATAATCTGAATCTTAAAGAGCAAGTCACCCCCAAATCAACTTTTTTTCTGATAAACTATATAAATGCGTGTCTAATCGTGCTGCAGACACGTGTAGTCAATAGTTTAGCACTTTAATGCATTTTAGTTCAAATTAAAAATTTCTGCCTGTAACTGTCAGCGTTGTGTCGTGTCAGGTAAAAACTCTGCACTGCATTTGAATTTAAATCTGCCATTGCTATTGGCTAAGAGGTAGCCTGGAATGTTAGCTGGTACCATATGATGTCACAATGTCGTTGTGAGCCTGTGGCTGTGTCTCAATTCAGGGTCTGCATCCTTCGTCGGCCGGTTACGTCACAGCGCCGCGACCAGGCCTGTCCCAATTCGAAGACTCCTTCAAATGTGGTCGACGAATCCGGCCTTCTTTTCGCCTGCAAGCAGGATGGGTCCGGTGTATCCTTCAATGGTTCACATTTCCCAAGATGCCTTGCGGGCTGGACGGTAGAACTTTTAAAAACAATGGCGGACAGTGAAGCGGGAGCTGTCGGAGAGGATTGCGCATATAAATGTCAGTATAAACTTGAAAACTGTTAGGTTAAGGACTTTTTGTGATACATGAACGCTATTTTAGTTAGAAATGTTACAGTAAAAGTGCTTGTATTGCGGTCTCGGCTCGTATGTTCGGCCGCTCGGTGTCGCACTTCTCCCGCTACGTTTTCCCCCTGATTTTAATAGAAGTTTGTATTTTAGAGACAAAAGAGAAAACCAGGGAATTTATTAAGCATAGGGCGGAGATGGACCACATGTTCAACGGAGCTAAGCATTCGGCGGCTGTGGCTTGGAGGTACAATAACAACATCTCATATTTTAAAAACTTTCGTTTGAGTTTAGTTTTGTCTGCGAAAACATGAAAGGAATAACCCGTTGTCCTCTTCTATCTTTTCTCTTCCTGTTTCTGTTCTTACATGTTAGGACTATTGTGGAGAAAATGGCCATCCAGGGAAAGGTGACCCCCATCCAGGCAAAAATAAATAAATAAAATGGGATAATTTAAAGAAAAAATATAAAGTATGTAGATGTGTGTGGAAAAATATAACATGTATACATGCTAAATCTAAAAAGGTTAAAGAGGTTTGTAGTTATTTGTGTAAACTGACTTTTTTTAAAATCTAGGATTGCAAGTATCCAGGGTCAGGAGAGGGGGTTAGTGGGAAGCCCACTGCTGCTACTTGGCCCTGGTTTGACCTCATGGATGAGGTATTAGGACAGAGACCCTCAACCAGTCCGCCTGTCCTAATTGCCTCTATCAGTGAGGACACTCCAGGGCCAAGCACAGCAGTGGAGGAAAGGGAGGAGAGTGAGTATGAAGATGGTCAGCCAGGAGGAAGTCAGCCAGGTGGAAGAAAAAGGAAAAGGGACAGCGATGACCAGCTTCTGGAGCTGATCGGGGAGGACATGAGGCTGCAGAGGGCACAGGAGAGAATTTTGGCAGGCTTTTTAGTTTGCTCGAAAAAATGATTAATAAAGATTAAACATGTATATATAATAAAAATATCTATATAAAATCAGTTCTGTATTAAACCGTTGAATTTTATTTTTGTTTACAAATGTGAATTGTGTAATATTACAGGGTATCCGCTGGGTCTTAAAGTCTTAAAAGGTGATAAATCGGTTTTGGTCAAATTAAGACCCTTAGAAATTATTAAAAACTATTATCCCATCTTTGCTCAGGCTCAGCTTTGCAAACTATTTTCTCTGAACTCCAGCAGTCCCAAAAACATTATTTAAGTGTGTGATTTTGATCATTTTAATAAAAAAAAAACATAAAATTTTGCCTATTGTGGGTGCATTTGAATTGCCTCTAGAAGCACCACAGTGGACTGTTGGTCAACTATTTAAGTTAAAAGCACCAGTATCGCTCATGTAAATGTTGACAACAGGAAGCTGCAGTGACATATTAAAAATATTGAGAATGTCTTGAAACAGTATTAACATGAACTTCAAGATTCTTTTCTGTAACCTGTAATGTTTTTAAGTATTAAACAAAAAATGTAATTGAGAAAATAATGGAGAAATGGATCAAACTTAATACTTTAATTTACAACAATTTAGTTTGAACATGGTTGAACGTATATAAACAAAATCATGAAGGGAAACATACAAAATAAGACAAATATCTGACATAGAAAAATAAAATGCATATTTGGTGCAGGATTTACCTGAGTGTCCTGTTCCAAGACCGTTTCAACAACTTTGAAGCAGGAAGTCCCTAACAGGGCTGCTGGATCTGCTGAACAGATGAATGTCATGGATGGAGCTGAGACCCGTGGCTGCTCTTTTCTGGTTGACAAGTGGAGCATCCTACTGGGTGGTCTGCAGAAAGAGCTTCAAGATGCGTCTTGGCTGTCCACTGCATCGTCCATCGGTTTGCAGGGCTGGCTGTCGACGGCTGCTACATGACCAAGACTGAAACATAAATAGACAAATAGGAGATAATAAATACAAAATCTACATACTATTGGTGAAATGTTAGACTATTAAAAAAAATGTAAATTCATTCATTTGATACCTGTTAATAGTAGTCATGATCCAGTGGAACCTCCTCCAGGGCAGACACCTCACAGCACAGCTGGTCCCGCCAGCGTGCACCGCTGGCATCCTCCAAACCAGCCTCCCCCTCATCATCTCCACCATCCTCCTCAGGCTCATCCTCCGCCACCACAAAGTCCCCAGCACTGAGGCAGATGTTGTGGAGGATGGCACAAGCGGTAACAACCTGTAATACATAAATTAATTAATTGAAATATATTTCAAAGAAATGAGAATAGCCACATTTCGAACACTTACGTGAGGCACAAAGGTGGGGTGGACCTCCAGCGCTTGCAGGAAGATGGCTCTGAACCTGGTTTTCATCATTCCAAAAGCACGCTCTATCACAGAGCGTGCCTTGGAATGATGGCTGTTAAAGCGCTGGGCAGCCACACCTTGATTCCCACGTTTGTAGGGAGAGATGAGTGGGAGTGGGCTTTGCAGGCATGGGTACCCACCATCTGCGAGGATGAAGTGCCCTGGAGGAGGGTAGACTGACTGACTGCCTGTACAGCGGGCTGTGGCGGAGCACCCTGGAGTCGTGCACCGACCCCGGCCAGCCCACGTAGGTGTCAGTGAAGTGGCCCTGATGGTCACACACAGCCTGCAGGATGATAGAGGGGAACAGTTTCCTGTTCCTGTAACAGTGACCATCAGGGCCGCTTGGAGGCTTGATCCTGATGTGGCAGCCGTCGATGGCACCTGCAGCTTTGAAAAAAGCCCTGCAAACCCCTGGGACACCACCTCCAGGTCTTCAGGGGTTTTTGGAAGGTGGATGACCTGGTGGCGAATGGCCACAACCTCCTCCGTGACTCTGTGGACGATGCGGTGGACAGTCGAACGAGGTATCCCGAACGCTCTGGAGACCACCCTGTAAGATGCTCCGCTTGCCAACCAGAAAAGAAACACCAGGGTCTCAATTGTGGCACCCCAACCACGACTCCGATCTTGGTTCAGCAGATTCAGCAGCACTGAAAGGGACTCCCTGCTCAAACAAATGTCTGGTCTCGGATCTTGCTGGTTGAAGGAACGGTCCAGGACTGGGACACTCAGGTTAATCCTGCAGTATCTGGGTCTAGTCTGGTTAAAGAGAAATACAGAAAAAATAAAGTTTTATTTCAAAGCTGTAATTTCAAGTTTTTATAAAACATAACATTATTCTCAATGTAAATGTGATAATATTGTGCATTTTTATGCTATTCTTTCAAATTTCTAAAAACTTAACTTTTGAAGAATGTATGCAATGAAGGCCAAAAGATCAATTTTCTGTAATAAAGTTTTGTAAGTCATGTAACAAGTTCTTATTTTTGTCCACTAGATGTCCCTCTACAGGTAATTGATGGTTCCATGTAATGTGCTCTTTCTGCTAACAGTTATTTGTTATTTAGTGACATCAATATTTAAAAAAAATAATTATTTAAGCCATTTTCACGTTTTTTTCTTCTTACTTGAGTAACTCTTTTGGTGGGGAGCTTTTTTAGTTGAGTAAGTATAAAAGATTTGAAGTTGTAGTTTATATTTGAGTATAGGTTTTGAATTTAATACGGAGTCTGTTTACAACCTGTAAAAAGTTGCTAAAACTATCCATTAAACTAGCTATAGCCGATAGGTAAATCCTACTTAATAGAAATTACTTTACCTGTTCATTGTTGCGTCTCAGCCTGAGCAATAGAAAATGCCTTTGCCAGCGATACACGTCTTCTAACTCCTCCAGAACCAAGGAAATTATTTAAAAAGCTCAACAAAACTTCCAGCTCCATCATTTGAAGTTCCTTCTCCCTTCTGCTCAGCGGTTCCACGGTTGCGAGGCGACGGAACGTTCGCCGAGGGAGAGGCGGGAATTCAAGAAGGCTAGGCCTGTCCAAATTCACAGCCGTTAACATCCGGTCTACTCGGCCGACGGAGGACCCAGCCCACGTCGGGCGAGTAGGCTGGATCCTTCAAAGGATGCAGACCCTGAATTGAGACACAGCCTGTGTGTGTGTGTGTGTGTGTGTGTGTGTGTGTGTGTGTGTGTGTGTGTGTGTGTGTGTGTGTGTGTGTGTGTGTGCGTGTGTGTGTGTGTGTGTGTGTGTGTTAGCGGCTCTGCCCTCTCAGTTTGCTAGGCAACAGCATTTGTTGCATTTTTCAAACAGGAAGTGGGAGTTGAGTAAGAATCTGGTAGGGGGTGACTTGCTCTTTAACTAAATATACTATAAGAAGTACTCTCAAAATAAACTTTAAAGTTGAAGATCCTTCACAAAATAAGAATTCAGAGATCATAATAAAGATATACTTGACCCAGGGTGGTCTGGCATACTGGACACTTCCCGATGGGCCGTTGCCCAAGTTGGGCAGTCCCCCACCCCCAGTCTTTCTTAGTGTCTACAGGAGTGATTCCTCACAAAATAAACACATCAGCTGTCTTCATGATCTAAAACATGCTGGAATCTTGCGGGAACCAGACTGCAGCACCAGGTATGTCAGCTCGGTTTTCTCCAAGTCCCAACTGAGCAGCTTACCTGTCTGAAGTTGCAAGTGGAATATTCTGGCAACAGGGGATGATGGGGGCTGGGTGCCCTTTCATTAACCTTGTAAAGGGTCATTTTAGCACATACTGACTCAATAAAATAAATGTAAAATATGAAGAAGTTGCAAAGTATCCCTTCCCTCCCTGACATCGGAACTGCGCTGCTCTGGGTGGCTGCATGTAGCTCTGTTGACTATATGTAAGTTTTGCCTTTTCTTGGACATTTTTTCTTCTAGTTTCTCAAGAAAAACTGTATTTTTTGGACACTTTACTTTTCTGTTTCTGGTGCTGTGAAGCTTGGAGGATTTGTACTGCTATTTTTTAGCTTTTTTCCCTTTCTGAGCATTTGTTATGATGCGTAACCATGGCAACAAGCTGGTTTACAATCGAGAGCAGCTGATTAACATTGGAAAGGCTGAAATAATACCTCAACTGAAGCCACAAATCCCAAATGAGCTAAACGCAAGAAGCGTGGATGCAGAGCGGGAGCAAAACGGGGACAGAGAAAGAGGAAATTCAAACCATCTCTTCCACCGATCATAATGGGCAATGTGAGATCTCTGGCCAACAAGATGGAGGAACTCCAAGCCTTTTCAAGGACTCAGCCAGAGTTTCGGCAGTTTTGGAGCCGCTGGAGGAGATAATGCAAAGAAGGATTCTCCAGAGAATCAAGAAAATGATGGACAACCCTGAGCATTCTCTTCACAAGACTGTCCGACAACGGAAGAGTGTCTTCAGTCAGAGGCTTCTTCAGTTTTGCTGCAACACTGACCGCTACTGGAGATCCTTCCTGCCAACAGCCATTGTAATATCCAACAACTCTTTGATGACTTGATTATTATTGTTATTCTGAGCCACTACAGCAATCAATTTCCCTCTGGGATTAATAAAGTATTTTAGAATTGAATTTGAATTGAATTCAAGACTGAATTTTGTTGCAACAACTAGGTTCTGCAAGACACATCCAGTGTTTTCGCAAGATCTTGTTTTCCCATCAGAATTAAGGTGGTAAAAACTGCTGCCACCTAGCAGTTTGAATTGCATCACACAAAAGAAAATGTTTCTCATCAAAACCAATACCCTGCTTTTTGATATCAACATAGTATCATTCCACAATCTTGCAATATTTCAGTGTACTGACATTTTGATTTAACCCTAATGATCAAAACCAAATAACAAACTAAGATGCTATTTGTGAAATAGTTTGTACAACATTTAAATATTCTACATTCAATAAATAAAACAATACCCAGGGTTTGATGAAACCAGGCATAAATGCTTTCAATACAAGCCATTTCTGATCAGGAAACTTAATGACCTAAAATGTGCTTTTAGATTTTTTGGAGCAGGTTAACAGCGTAGAATAAATCTTCTAATAAATGTATAGGCAAGTTTTTAGTGAACATTAATCATATAAATGTTAAAGTATTTAAATTATAAAAAAGGCTAAAATCCGCTGTGCTCCGTGAAGCTGACCCCCCAGCTTCAACATCTCGTTTGGCTGAATTTCTGCGCATGCGTGTTTTCAGTCGGCCTCCGGTCGCTTCGCCATCTTTTTGGCAGCCCATTGTTCACTCCGAAGCTACCAGCGGTGTCCAACCTCTTCACACTTCGCATTAAAACAGCTGGACCGTGCCACCGAGAGTTGCCCGCCACCGTCGTGGATTTGCTCACAAGGTCGCGACTTGTTTTCGGCCAGAAAGTGAGACAGAATGGACGACGAGCAGCCCAAAACCCTGTAAGTGTGACTGCGTTACTGTTAGCACAGCATTTAGCGGCAGTTGGAGCCCACCGGGGACAAAAAGGGCCCTTTTATTCATAAATGTCGACATTTGTCTGTTTATTCACAGCAAACGTTGGCCAACGTTCTTCCAATTAAAAATAAAATGCAATCTAATTATTTGTGATGTTGAAATGAACGTGTTACCCGATGCTAACGAGATAACAAGCTAGCTAGTTCTAGAAAAATCTATTCGTGGGTTCACAAATCTCAGATCAAACATCTGTGGAAAAAGAAATGTTAAAATTAAAGTTTTCTGGGACGTTTGAGCACCGAGAGCTGTTGAACCCGTTGGAGGTTGATGTGCGACGGACTGAAGTGTTTCTGTGAGCAGAAAAACACGAAACAAGCAGCCGTTTCTCTGCCATTAACCCCCTGTTATTGTAGGCCTTACAGCGGCTCTCCGTGCTGTAAAATAGGTTTCTTCCCGTTTGTTATTTAAACTTAGATTGTTGTTTACAATCTGCTGGTGTCGTTCTTGAGATGGAGTGAAGTAATTACCTAAACCAGTAAATAAAAGGAGAATTGCAATACAGTGGATAAGTACATTTACTTGATTAGAAATCTGGCTTTCATTGTAGTTTTTACGTTCTGTCCCAGCCATCCAAGGTTGAAACCGTCTTTCATACATTTTCTATTACTCGTGCCCATATCTAATGGTTAAAATGAGCCACTGACCAATACTTGCTGTTGATGTCTCGACATTTTCTACCTTATTTTCATGATAAAATGTCCCTAACAATTGTGGTGGGTGCACAACATTTCTGAAGCTTAACCGCTGAATTTAACAAACTACAGTTTTAAAATCAAAGATTTAATCAGGTAAACCCAATAACATGACTAAAACATGACAAAACGGGTGATTAAAAAAAGAGAATTTAATAAGCCAACGTTTATCAGGAATGTAAATATAAATTAAAATAAATAAAAATACAAATTTTGTGTGTAAATGCAAAATGTAGAAAAACATCAGAAAAAATGCTCATGAAAATGAAAAAATAAATGCATTGAAAACACAAAAACAACATGCTCAAATTCACCAGCAACATTTAAAATGCATTCAATGTTTTTTCTTGTTGACTTCATGTAAAATAAATTGGGTCTACAACAAAGGTATATCAGCCAATACCAGTAAATATCAGCTTAGTGTATGTATATGTATGTATTTGTGTGTGTATGAATATTGTAGTGTTATCTATCTATCTCTATCTATCTATCTATCTATCTATCTATCTATCTATCTATCTATCTATCTATCTATCATCTATCTATCTATCATCTATCTATCTATCTATCTATCTATCTATCTATCATGATTGTTTTATTAAAGTAGGTAGATTTACAGATTCTACTGTTTATCTCATTTGCCCCACAAAATACTGATTTGTTGTGATTCCAACTAAATATTTGTATAATTTCCAGCATTTTTGTGTACAACTAGTCATCAGCAGTCATGGCCCAGTGAGCTATTGGATTAACACGTGTCATATTCATTTTTGTGTTCTTGTATTTAGGTATGTGGGGAATCTCTCCCGGGACGTGACAGAGGCCTTGATTTTGGAGTTGTTTAGCCAGATTGGACCCTGTAAAAGCTGTAAAATGATAGTAGATGTAAGTTTAGTCTTTTTTTCTCAATTATTCTCGCTACTTTCTTGTCGAGTAACATTTCTGTAAAAATTAGCGCACATACTGATGTGGTTTAGCTTGACCCATCTGGCCTTAACGTTTCTCTGTTGCACAGTAATTCTGTGGTCTTCCATGTATTGCTGAATGATGGTGTCGTCAAGGCCACGTGGACTTAAAATTGTGTTTCTTTTCCACTCCAGACAGCAGGTCATGATCCGTACTGCTTTGTGGAGTTCTATGAACATAGACATGCCACTGCCACAATTGCAGCTATGAATGGTCGGAAAATACTGGGTAAGGTAAGCTATCATATCTCCTGGGTGAGTCACCAAAGGCAGGGCTGGGTGGGCGCTGGTCAGGATGACATCATGAAGCCTCTGGAGAACTGTTTCCTGTTCAAATTTGTCTTGCTTCCCCCTTCCTCCTCCACTTAATGTGTTTATTCTCTTGTGCACATCATTCTCCTGTGCACAGCGCAAATAATCCAGAATGGTATTCCACATTTCTTATTTCTCGGCTGTGTAGTTTCAGAATATTAGAGCCTTCATATCTTTTTTTTTGTTAGAGCTTTTAGTTTTTATAATTGTTCCTGCTTTCTTGGTTTTTGTGCTTTTAACACATTTAAGTCATCAGCTGACTTCTTGTTTTTTAAACCAAATCTACTGAAGCAAAAAAAAGCTTTTTTGTTTTCCACATTGCTCAGAACTATAAAAGCTAATTAATATTCATACTATCTAACCTGATGTGGTCGTGAAAAAATAACTTGTCCTTTTAGACCGAACTTTGATTGAAAACTAATAGTTGTGAAGTCATTTTCCTATCATTTTAACAGTGTCACTATTGTCTCTGAGCTATAAGAATCACATTAGACCATTAAATTTAGTCTGGGAGTGATTATCTACTTACATGTATGGACCAGAATAGACTAGACAAATAAGATAACTGCCTTTTAAGACGCCAGTGAGATAATGGTTGCTGGTTTTTAACAGGTCACATGGTTACAGTTATTACTGTTTAAAAGTTACTAGATTTGGTTACTCAGCTTTTTAAAAGCTACAGCTTTAGATTTCCCAACAGAAATTGCATCCCAGACATGAAAAGCAAACCATATCTGTAACATAGCCAGTTTTCTTTTTAATATTTTAGTTACATTTAATCCATAATTACATGAAATGTGCTCCTTTGTTGTAGCTGGAGGTTATGAGTGCACATATACTCCATAGAACAGCTAAAAGAAGCTTTTTGATTCGGTGAGTTTGACCTTTTCTATTAACCCGACAGGAAACGGCGACGTGACTTTCTATAAAAACCCTCATCTACAAGAGCCATGGTCCGATTCACACGTCTCATTAAAAACCCACATGCTGCACCCTCAGCATGTGAGAACGCGGCAGGCTTAAAGCGTGTGCGTCGTGTTTTCACCCTGCTGATTATTCCGCAGCAGGTGCAGAAAATATTGTTACATATTCAAACGGAGAGTGAGGGATTGAATGTGTAATGGAATAAAATAATGAATAACTACTACTAAATCATATAAATACATCTGTTATAAGAGTAGCTATAATGGCAGTTATAGTACTTATACAAAACCTAGTAAGTCTGAACACAAGCTGTTTTTAAAATCACACATTAAACCGATCATTTTCCTCAAGTTTCATCTATCAGTAAAATACTTTTAATGCAAGAACAAACTGTGTAAAATATTAATCAAACTAATAAATCAGCTGTCATAAAATTCTACAAAGATTATTTAAATAAAAAAGCTTTAACTTTCATGGCCCTCTGTGCTGTGATAGTGATGTAGTTCATGTAGTTATTTATTGTATTATAGTGTTTTTAACGTGGTCCAGGAAGTGATCAGTAGCTGGTTAATTACGTTTTACAAACAGTTTGTTTTTGTCCCTTCATGCTCCATGCTGTGTGAGTGAGCTTCTGTGTGTGTGTGTGTGTGTGTGTGTGTGTGTGTGTGTGTGTCGGTTTAACGTAGCTGTGCTCATGCAACGTATAACATCCTCTGATCTACTTTAATTAATGCTCTTCTATCCCCTCACATCTTTACTGCTGTGTGTTCTTTTGCAAAGTTATTTCCACATAGAATCCACTTAAGAGCAAGTTTAAGAAAAATACATTCAGTTGAAAATATTTTATCCTCAACAGGTATTGAAGGACCATTTGAGGAGTATAACAAGTTCGTAAAATTCACTTGTTTGTAAGTCCCTTGTTATTTGGACCTTACTTCCTACAGTTTTGCTCCAAATTATTACTAGCCTCAGAATAAAGTGACCCTGATTATAAAGGAGAGGCCTTGATAGCCATAACTGTACGCCACTGTTTGTAACTGTTTTGATTTATGAAAAGGTTTGTAAAATTAAATATAAATCAGTTTGTGTTGGTGCTGTAAGAATCCAAAGTGTGGCTTAAAGAGGCCATCTTTTAAAAAATATCTCAATCAACAAAATGTGACCTAAGTGAAGCTGGTGTGAGAAGCCCTCCAATCAGAGAAAAAGAAGCCCCCCCCCCCTTCACCCTTAAGCTTCACATCTGATTTATTTTCTTTCTTTCTTGCCTTCCTCGTCTGTCTTTACAGGAAGTGAAGGTCAACTGGGCCACAACACCAACAAGCCAAAAGAAAGACACAAGCAGTGAGTAGTTGGTCTGTGTATCTCATTGCAGTTGGATGCAAAATTACTGAAAGACTATTGTTCATTCTACATTAGCTGTGGTTTTTATCTAGGTTTGTAAATGAATCTGATATTTGAGCTCCTTTTAAGATGGCAGCCAATTCTTTGGTCTCAGCCCCTTTCTGACTAGCTGTTAGCTTGTTGTCTGAATTAACCAAATGGAGCTTGTTGAAAGAGCCATGTTTGATATTAGTTGTTCATAAATGTTTCACACAGCAGAACATCAGAAATGTCTCTGAGGGGCTTTCTCACATTAAGAAATGTGGTCTGGGGTGCACAGGAAGCAGAACATGGAGTCAAAATGTTTTTCTTGTCGAGGAGTCTAGAGGTTTCCGCCATAGGTCAATCATGATGTTAAATGTCAGCATCCATGTCATGAAGTTAACAAAGTCAGTACTGGGGTGTTTTGGCAACAATCTAATCATAGTGGAGCACTGTAAACCCAAGTCAGCATCACATGCTTCATTTCCTACTCAAAGATCATCTTCAGTGATTGGACCTATTATTGCAGGGGTGGGCAATCCTGGTCCTCGAGGGCCGCTATCCAGCATGTTTTAGTTTCTTTCTGCTCCAACACACCTGATTCCTGGATAAATCACCTGTTCAGCAGCTCATCAGGCTCTGCAACATCCTGTTAATCACCAGCAGATTCAAACCAGGTGTGTTTATGCAGAGAAACAACTAAAACCTGCTAGATAGCGGCCCTCGAGGACCAGGATTGCTCACCCCTGTATTATTGGGAAGCTGGTTCTGTTGGTAAACTCCTGAGATTTCTGTGACATCTGTGTCTGGAAACCTTCAGAGCTGCGGTGGATTAATAATTTTAGAAAAATACAATATCTTTATTTTCATTAAGCTTTTAAATAGGGCTGTCGCGGTTGAGGAATTCCCCCTGTGGTGATTCAGGGTGGCTTAATATTGTGATGTGCGATATTATTGCAGCCCTTTTTTTATTGCAGTACTATCTAAACATAATGCTTACACATTTAAAAAAGGTTAAAAATTGCCGTGCCTTCTTTTATAACACTTTACTGAATGCAGATCAAAGGGCGCACTATCATTTCACTTTCACACACACGAATGACGGTGATTTATAGCTCGGTCACGTCCTTGTTACCTACAAGGAAAACCAGCATGTTAACCATATACGGTTTGAGAGAGGATCTGAGAGGGGTGGCAACATTTCCAGCAACACTGAAAACCCTCTCGGATGGTGCGCTCGTTGCACTAACGCACACGTACTTGCGTGCGACTCTGGCGAGCAAAGGGAATCTCTCCCGGTTGTTGCTCCACCATGTCAGGGGGGTTTCTTTAGGGTGGGTGCATTCCTCCTGCAGGTAGCGAGTGAGCTCCAGCTCGGCTCAAACTCTCTTCGGGACGGTGGCAGAAGCAGTGCTTGTCCGGAACTTCAGCAGGTCTCTGAGCGTTTATTATTATTATTTTGCCGCTGGTGGCAGCTCTGTCTCGGCCAAGGACTCTGGCTGCGCAGCAGCTGACGTACTGAAAACCAAAGTGCTCCCACAGGAGCGAAGTAACGTTTCGTTTTGATACCAGTGCAGCCATCCTTCTCAGCATGCATCATTGAGTTGAACCAAGTTCAGTAATCGCGGTGGCCCATGATGCAGCGCGGTGGGCTTCTTCATATTGCGATATTTCATTTTTGCGGTTACTGCGACAGCCCTACTTTTAAAAATACCAATGATCTTAATGTTAGTTTGTTTGTTTGTTTGTTTGTTTGTTTTAGGTCATTTCCATGTTTTTGTTGGAGATCTAAGTCCTGAAATCACCACAGATGACATTAAGGCTGCTTTCGCCCCTTTTGGGAAAATATCGTAAGTTTATTCCCATCACCCTTATTACTAATGATCATCAGAACATAGACTCTGCATGTGCCAGCTAAAGTTTGTTTAAAGAGCAAGTCACCCCCTACCAGAGTATTACTCTGTTCCCACTTCCTGTTTGAAGAATGCAACAAATGCTGTTGCCTAGCAGACTGAGAGGGCGGAGCCGCTAACAAATACATACACACAGGCTTACAACGACATTGTGACATCATATGGTACCAGCTAACGCTCTAGGGTACCTCTTAGCCAATAGCGAAGGCAGATTTAAATTCAAATGCAGTGCAGAGTTTTTACCTGACAACGGCAAAACACTGACAGTTTTAGGCAGAAAATTAAAATTTGAACTAAAGTGCAAAACTATTGACTACACGTGTCTCCAGCACGATTAGACACACATTTATATAGTTTATCAGAAAAAAAACAGTTGATTTGGGGGTGACTTGCTCTTTAAACATCAGTTAAGTGTTCATACTTTCTATTATATTATGCTTGAATAAAAGCTTGTATGTTTTAATGTTTATCCAGTAACTCGATCCTTTTTGGTATTAAGGTCACATCTAAATCTGCCTCCATGTTAACCCTCTCAGACCAAATACCGTTTTGTATTCAGCATCTGACCTGGATCACATTCAGTAGTAAACTTGGACAGTCGATACTTCTAATTAAAGCACTGGACTCTACTCCTCCAGATGTATTTTTAAATGCTTTGGACTGCAATTGTGATTTCAAACGACGCGATCAGATGATACGAAAAATGGATACAATGAATTAATTTGAGTTTTTTGTTTTAGGTGATCTAAAAAATAAGTAAATTGAGTTTTTATGTAATGCAATGTAATGTAAAGTAATGGTGCCTTTTTGGCTCCCAAGAGCTTCTGTAGAGTTAGTTTAACACAGCAGTATGGCAAGCGACAACAACGTCATAGCACACACGCAACAGCAAACAACAACATGGCTACTGGTGAGAGTGGGACGTTTGAAACTGGTTTGCTGCGACAGACGTGGAGCAAGAGATCCCACGCTCCATCATCTGCCTAAAACCCATCGCAGTCAAAGGCAGCAATTTGTTCATTTTTCTTCTCAGAAATGAGGGTTACATTTGTCTTGCTTTTGATTATCCATCCATTGTCTGAACCTGCTTTGTCCACGTAGGATCGCGGGGGGGCTGGTGCCTATCTCCAGCGGTCAACGGGCAATCAGGCAGGGTACACCCAGGACAGAGAGCCAGTCCGTCGCAGGGCAACACAGAGACACACAGGACAAACAATCATGCACACACACTCACACCCAAGGACAATTTAGACAGACCAATTAACCTAACAGTCATGTTTTTGGACTGTGGGAGGAAGCCGGAGCACCCGGAGGGAACCCACACATGCACAGGAAGCGAACCCAGGACCTTCTTGCTGCAAGGCAACAGCTCTAACCACTGAGCAGCTGCTCCTGCACCTGCTTTTGTTTAAATAAAAACAAAATTGGCTTTAAGCTGTCTTCCATTTGTGATTGCGTTTCCTAACAATTAAAGGGGGAAATCTGAAAGAAAAAAACCCGTAAACCGAATCGAAATAAATTAAATCGGATTTTAATTTTAGGCCGTATCGCCCAGCCCTAGGTTATAAATATAATTATTGAACATTTATGTCCATATTGCCCAGGCCTATAAGATGCTCCTCTTTTTCTCCTTTTCTTTGTTCAGTGACTTGAATATTTTTTATGTTTTCTCCCATATCTGGTGTCAGCACTAGCTTTGATGCACTTAAGTTCAACCACTTACAGATTTTTCTTTTAACGGTTGTGCGACTTAACTGTCTGTCGGCAGGGATTGTCGAGTGGTGAAAGACATGGCCACGGGTAAATCTAAAGGCTATGGCTTTGTTTCCTTCTTCAACAAATGGGTAAGTGTGCTGTGAGTGAACAAATGTTAAAATAATATAAAACCTTTAATCTTTGTTCATCTTCTTTGTTCAGGATGCAGAGAATGCCATTCAGCAAATGGGAGGACAGTGGTTGGGAGGAAGACAGATCAGGACCAACTGGGCCACGAGGAAACCTGCTCCTAAAACCACCACTGAAAGTAAGATCACAAATATTGGGACCCAGTTCACTGAGAAATCTTTTTTTTTTTACTTGTTCTTCTTGTAATATAGGGCTGCAACAAACGATTATTTGGATAATCGATTAATCGGATGGGGTCTCGACACGATTAATCGATTAATCGGATTACATGGGGAAATTTTTAAAAACTGCTAGGGAAACGTTATTTCTCTCCTTCCTTCACTTTATTTAACACAACATTATTAGAAAACAGTTCAATAGCAGAAAAACAACATGCCATCACCTAAATTGTCTTATAAGGTGTATAGACAGAGACCCTAAGCTACATCTATCTGTGACCTAAAATGCTTGGTCCAAGTTAAACAGCTTAAGGGCAATTCTCATCTGTTTTGTTTGATCTCATCTGTTGACATTTATTTTAAATGTAATTAAACATAGGCTGTGAATTTATCAAAATTGATCACTATTTCCAAAAATGACTGAAAAAATACCAAATAAAACAAAAGTAAATGAATGCCATCCTCCTTGCGATGATGCCCTGGGCAACTGCCATAAAGTCACATCAAGAAATGCTGCTGATCATTCCAATGATCCCAAATAGACTCACATTAGGCCACATGAAAGCAACTGAACCCAAAAATATATTAGCCAGTATATAACTGCACTCTCACACAACACGCCTGCAGCAACAGTTAGGACTCCTCCCTCCCTTTTAAAAGCGTTTTTGCTTCTGAGGACATTGTGGTTGTAAAACCACATGCTAGTAGTCTGGCCCCGGTGTGATCAACCAGTTTCTGCGGGAATGTGACGGCGGAACCAGGGCCAGATTAACACTTTGTTGTACCCTGGGCAACAATATTCAAGGGCTCCATCATCACGACCCAAGGATCACCATAATGTGGTCACATACAGAATATTTTACTGTAATATGCAGTAAATATACTCAATACTTGAATGCCTGACAACACGTAACCCGCCCAGAGTAACCTTTGACCCACCTCGTGTGGACTGACCAATGAGGAGAGGGTCTTAACTTGAGGCCCTCTCTTCATTGGTCAGTCTGCATGAGACTGACTCTCAACTGACGTTCAGTCGTAGGCAGCGAAGCGTCTCTGTGCAGTGCAAAAGCCCGGGTGGACAGTTTGTTTAATGTAGGGTGACCATATTTCCATTTCCAAACAAGAGGACAGGGGATCTGTGCCTATGACGTCACACTATGGCAACGCCACACAAACCATGTTGGGACCCATTTTTTGTAAGAACTAAATTAATATCAGATTCTGCCATTTAAAGGGCTCTAAAACAATTCATATGTAAATATTTTGCATATTTAATGCAAAATCTAATTTTTCTGCTTTAGTGTTGCAACAAGGTTTTATTAATAATAAATTACTACCTTTTGTTTTACTACAGCATCGGTAAGCTTCCTGTGCACAGATTATTAAGGATGCTTGTTTCAACTGTGAGATTAGACGATAGGATCAATGAAAAAATAAGTTGTCACACACTCCATGGAAACTTTCAGAGAATCCACAAATAGTGGCTTTCAAATGGTTTTGTTACTTTTTGCAAGTTTATAAAATAAGCAGATGAGACAGCATGTCTGATAATTTAGTTTTTCATCTGATAATATTAGAGCATGTCAGTAATGTCTGAGGGGCTTTTATAAACACTGTATAACTAACACTACTGGAGAGGGCATGAATTACACAGAGGCTTCTGGGGAGCCCAGTTATTGGGGGGGGGGGGGGGGGGGGGGCATTTTGCCTTGGCCCCCAAAATGTCTTGAAACGGCCCTGGGTGTGTGACTGAGTTTTGAAGGTGATCTGAATTGTATCAGATGTATAAATATGACATGTGTATAACTTATTGTTTTTTACTGGTAAAAACGTGTAGTGGAGATAAATCTACCTACATTTTACTTTTCAACACTTTGTTTTGTTTTCTTGTTTTTATTGAACTATTTTCCTGTCCTGTCTGTCTCTCATCTTCCTGCATCTCCTCTTAATTCTCCAGAAAATCTGTTGCCTGGATTCTTACCTTTTCACCTCATCAGTTACTTTTGAGCAGGTCAAAGGGATCTCCTGACCGAAAAGCGCAGAGCGCGTTTTCGATGCTGCGTGAGGTGAAATCACCGCAGCACAGGTGATGAGCTCCGCAGTAGCGCGCTTCAGGCACAAATAAGACAGAAAATAGAGAACATGTGCGGACATGAACGATCGTGTGCTAATTATAGTTTTTTGGTTGCGCCACTTTGAGAATGGACCGTGCGCTGGAAGCAGCTGCCTGGATCGCTGTGCAACAATGCGGAACCGGTTCGCAGCAGCTCAAGTCTGCCGGCTCTCCCTCGCGCTGATCTGCCTGTACCGGCTCTCCCTCGCGCTGATCTGCGGCTCTCCCTCGCGCTGATCTGCGGCTCTCCCTCGCGCTGATCTGCCGGCTCGCTTTCGCGCTGATCTGCGGCTCTCCCTCGCGCTGATCTGCGGCTCTCCCTCGCGCTGATCTGCGGCTCTCCCTCGCGCTGATCTGCGGCTCTCCCTCGCGCTGATCTGCGGCTCTCCCTCGCGCTGATCTGCGGCTCTCCCTCGCGCTGATGACTTGCTCTGGTCTGCGCGCAACGGCGGGCGGGAAGGGGGGGCGCTTTTGGAAGAGTTGTGCGACACAACGAATCGATGACGCAATTCGTTGCCAACGCTTTTAGTAATCGATTTTCATCGAATTTATCGATTCGTTGTTGCAGCCCTATTGTAATATGATCAGTTGCTATGCGTTTAACATGCAGCCTGAATATGAAATTAGTCTCCTGTTCCTATTTTCTGCATTGGTATCTAATATAAATGTGTTTGGGGAGAAATTATGACACGTCTCTAAATAAAGTAAAATTTTCTAGTGCAGAGAGGAGACAACCCATAGAAGCACTGATTTGATCTCATTTCAGAGAAGAATAGAACAGGTTAGATGCACCTAATAAATAAAATAACTAACTAACTCAGGAATCTGTTTCTTTGCTTCACTGTTCTGGTGCTGAGAATATCACTAATGCGGATCAAAGGAGATACACAGATGAATGCACCTCTTATTTATTATTTGGAAACTACATTTACTGCAGCTGGCAGAGGCAGAGATTTTTTCTATTGATACACAAATTTACAGAATCATTTTAAATGTTAATAGGGGAAGACTGCAGGAGGGAGCGGTAAAATAGAGGGGTCCCCAGCAAAAACGAGAAACTTAACGAGTCTGATGAAACCCGCTGGTTTTCCATCAGGCAGTCACGGGGCAGTTCCAACGATCCAGTGGCTGTGCTGGGTCAATGTTATCGAGCTCAGTCCGGCTCGGCAGAGGGTGAACGAGCCGAGGCGACGTCGTGCTCTGCCTAAGAAGAGGTGTTGTTTTCCCGCTTCAGAAGAAGCGTCCAACGTGTTTTTACGCTTTCTCCGAGACATGTCACGTCGCTAAGTTGCTAGCGCTGCGCGCTAACACGTCAATAGTGCAGCGTAGTCTGCTGGAGGTTTTAAGGGTTCAGATGAAACACCTGACCTCTCAGGCTGCTCACACATCGATCTTAAGTTGTCGCTGTTGCGCTCACGCAGTAATACAGTATTAGATGCGGTTAAAGTCAGACACGAAAAAATAAATAAATTTTACATGAATAAGTGATGCTTAGCCTGGTGGGGGGAGGAAACCCTGTCAAGATCGTCAACGCTCGTTTATTTTAATGCTACTGAAACATGTAAATATAAATGCATTATATCCACTGCTACCTTTCTAATTTTAAACTCAGTAACTTCACCTTGCCCTGCCTGCTCCTCCTTGCTGCCCGCCGGCTGTTATCACAAGCGACAACATAGTAGTTCCCGCTGCTTCTTCGGGAAACAGCGCAAAAATAAATGAATAAAACTTGTGATTTTGTAGGCGTGGCGGTGAGATTTCAGCCGTGGCGGCCCGCCACGGCTACGCCTATGTAAGGGAAACCCTGAACTCTACAACATGGCAGAACTCCTTCAATCTTGTGTTATTTTTGGAGATACAATTAGAAAGCTGACAGAAAACTGTGGAGAGGCATCAACGTTGCAGAGCAAATGGAGTCGGTGGTAAAGGCGTGTTGCTGTTAGCCAATCAGAGTTGTTGCATGGTAGCGCAGTGGTTAGCGCTGTTGCCTCGCAGCACGAAGGTCTCAGGTTCGAAACTCGGCTGCGGCCTTTCTGCGTGGAGTTGCGTGTTCTCCCCATGCATGCGTGGGTTTCCTCCGGGTACTCCGGTTTCCCCCACAGATCACAACATGCCCTATAGGTTATAAATTGTAAGTCGCTTTGGATAAAAGCGTCTGCTAAATAAATAAACATAAATAAATATCAGGAAATAAGACTCCAAATCCTGCTGATTTCTGTTCAACTCTCCTCTAGCCAACTTCTAGTTCCTGAAACAGCAGGGCCAGAGCATTTTTCCACAGCGATGGACTCTAAAAGCATTCTTTTATACTAGAATCCACTGCAAATGTGTTGAAAAAGTGAGTGAACTTGGTATTTAAGGCTGTATCTATATAATCTAAATGCAACTCAAAACAGAATTAACTGTTTCATTTTGTTTACTTTAGGATGTGTAATTTCAGAATGTCTCACAATCTAGAACAGATTTATTAAAATGATGCCGTGTTTACAGAATCCCATTGCCACTCTCGTTTCAGCAACCAGTACCAAGCAGCTATCATTTGATGAGGTGCTGAACCAGTCCAGCCCCAGCAACTGTACTGTCTACTGCGGAGGAGTCACAACCGGTCTCACAGGTGAGGCAACGTTTAACTTCTTTCAGGAATTTTAAGTCATGCCTCATCAAATTAAACCTTATTTTTGTGTTAACAGAACAAATCATGAGACAGACCTTCTCTCCTTTTGGCCAAATAATGGAAATTCGTGTTTTCCCAGAGAAGGGCTACTCGTTTGTGAGGTAAACATTCATATACACCTGACGGATATTTTACCTTAAAGATTGACCTGAAATCGTTCAAAGAAAACTTTGAAGTAGTCTGTTTTAGCTTTGGTTTTTACCTGATTCAGGTTTAACTCCCACGAGGCAGCAGCCCACGCCATAGTTTCTGTTAACGGCACTTCCATAGAGGGCAATGTGGTCAAGTGTTACTGGGGCAAGGAAACGACAGACATGGTCCAGGGCCCCATACAGCAGGTACAGATGGCACAGGTATGAAGACTCCCAACCTGCAGTTTTTAACACAGACCAGGCTGCTACAGCGGAAGTTCGTTTAGTAAAACGCTCTTCTCATCATCAGCAGAACACACTGAGCTTTGCAGCACAGCCCTACAACCAGTGGGGTCAGTGGTACAGCAACACCCAACAGATCGGTCAGTATGTCCCTAATGGATGGCAGGTGCCGAGCTACAGCGTCTATGGGCAGACCTGGGATCAGCAGGGCTACAAGTAAGTAAACGCAGCAAGATGTCAGTACGAAAACTCCCTTTAGATGGAGTAGCTTTAGCAGTTGTCTGTTGTCTTAAACCTATGTTAGTCCTGGGTGCAGCTGTACACCTAGGCCTGTGCGGTAACCAGGTCGTACCATAAACAGGTGTTTATTTGTGTTATGATGTGAATTTTTCATATACCGGTTTACTGCTAGTGCGCGTGCTCCGTGATGAACATCTGTATGTAAGCAGATGTCTAACACTATTGGCTAATGCTGAGCGGCACTCAATTCAAATTGCATTTGCCTCTATGAATAGGGGCGGGCTTTGCAAAAAAAAAAAAAAAACGACGGACATTTCTTACATTATATCAGAGTACAGGGTCAGACTATCACTTTGCAAGATTCCTAGAATAATTTACCTAATTCCTGAAAGGGTAAAACTCTGGATTTTAGCTGTAAGACAACAGGAAAGAAAAATGTAAATGTGTAGTGCCCCTTAAAGACTCTTCCATCCACACAAATTATTAAATGTTCAGTCACACTGAAACTTTATTTCCTCTTGTATCTATGGGTTCATTGCTGCAGTTGAAGCATATGAAAGATGGCCGATTAATCGATTTTTCTGTTTCCGCTGTGCAGCATTTGAATCCAAACGGTCTTTTCTGTTTCTTTGAAGTCATTTACATGCTGGAGCTGGATGGACAGGCGTGGGCGCCGTCAGCAACGGGGGCATGGTAGAGCCCGGACAGGGCGTCAACGGGACGATGCTAACCAACCAAGCAGGCATGAGCGCTACTGGCTACCACACCCACTGATCACAGTAACGCCGTCTAGACGTCTGAGGCCACAAGGGTCGTACTCCGCTGGGGAAGGAGTGCGCCAGATGTGCTCCGTTTGTCACGTGACTAAAATTGCTGTTACTGAAGCTGGTACATCATTTTACCAGCTCCACGCCTCACCCACTGCCCCAATCTGGAAGATTAGTCACCCTTTAACACTGTTAAAGCTACCGCTAATGCACCTTGCATTCCTGGGCCCGTTTCCATTGTTCAGTGTTACTGGCCAAATGTAAATTATACAGTGTGTCAGAAAGTTCTTGTTCCAAACAAATGTTCAGTGAATTAAATCTACCGTAAAACTTCAGCTTATTGTTTGTTTTCAGCCCCTGGAAGCCAAAGAGCAAGGGCAGGATTTTATATCAACATTTAACGATCATCCAGGGCAAAGAGGCAGTTCGCTTCGCCACAGGAAGCACTCAGTCCACAGTTTTGGAACACAGCCACAAGATATGTAACAAAAGAGAGCTCTTCCTGTTGCTTTCCACTGGTTACTATGGTGACACATGAGTTTGAGTGAGTCCTCAGGGTGTTGAGTCATTCTGTGAAACATACATGTAAGCAGGTTGATGGGAATTTGGGTGCAACAAAACTCAGACGCCAGTGCTCCTTCATCCCCTTGACCGGACTGAACAGACGGAAGAATCCCATCTGTGGATATGAAGTGTGTGTGTATGTGTGTGTGTGTGTGTGCATGAACTGATGATTTTATTCACCAAGACAAGGTCCTGATCATCTTCCCGCTGAATCCAGAAGGACTATGCCATTATTATTTTGTTTTTGCTACAAAATGATAGAGAAAATGTGTTTTTATTTTTTTGGAGCAATTTAAAGAAAAAATGCTGATGTTGTACAAAGAGCTTTTGCCTTTTGTGTTTTATGTCAGGACTGAAGAAGAGTTTGTGACACCATCAAGAGACATGCAAAGACCTCTTTTGTTTGTTTAGAACAACAGGAAGTGGCTGTCAACTTTATTTTTTAAATTAGTTCTATCTGAAATAAAACAATTGCAGGGATTACTGCCACTCTTATCTTACTTACAGGCAGATGGATATTGCACAAAGTCTTAGTTGTCCTCACAAAATTTGAAATAACAAATTGTTTTGTTTCTGCATTCCACTTTGTGATTTTATTTGGAAGCCTGTTTTATGTAAATAGCCAATTTTTCTGTTAAATTGTACTAAATCTGTATAAAGACATGTTCATTAAGAAAAGCGTGCTTGCTCCTGGGTGGGGAAAGTGGATTTCAGACCGAAGCGTGGTGGTCTGTGAAGAGAAGCATCGTTTCGTTCTTCCAGCCAATCAGAGGACAAGCAGCATTGCTATGCAATGCAAAAGTCTTTAGATGGATAAGAACTTCTAACTTATTGGTTTACACAGACAGTGATTTTTTGAAATAGATTTAGACTTCTAGAGTTGGTGTAGTTTCAGATGAATCCATTGTGTTGCCTTAAGAGTTTTAAGTTGACCAAAAACCATCTGAGAGTAGGCAGTGCCTATGAATGTTTTTCAGCCTACATTTTAGCACGATAAGTTCTGTGGACGCATCAGTAACATGATTTGTGTTTTTGCTTTTTCCCATTAAAATGCTGATGTTTATTACAGCTCACATTTACACTGTTTGCATCTCATCTTTGAAACCGGCTACTGCTGGAAGGGTCCGTAAATGTCCTTTACAAAGTCACAAGAGTCGTCTCAAAGTAGTTTCCATAGAAGTAGAATGTGCTGGTCAGTAATGAGGGCTTGTGTTACCAAGTTCTTGCATCACAGGATTCTTTCATAAGTTTGGATCCCAGTGAGGACAGGAAATTGGGTCTTCTCTCAATAACAGTGATGTGAATTCAAGAGAAGAGGGCTTTGTTGCCCAGCTGGTGCTAAAACGGAAACCTTCATGAAACAAGGTGTTTCAGTGACTTCAGCTGGTCTAATGGGCCATCTGTACATGTCATGATTAATCTGATACTAAAGACATGGAAGAGAAGAATGAAGTAAGGATTTCTGTGGGTGTCATTGGACAACAACCATAGGCTGTTCAAGAACAGTTCTTTGATGCAGTGAAGAAGCAATCTGTTTTTTAGTATTGAACCTAACCAGAAACATGAAGTCACACCTAGTTGAAAGGAGTTGGCTGAAGCTGTTCGTCTTCATTTGGAGGTTTGGTGAGCATGTCCAGGAGGGAGGAGATCCCAAGGCAGGCCCAGAACTGGACCTAGAAATCTTTCCTTCCCGGTTTGGGGACACCAATTGGGATCCCCCATGAAGATGTGTAAATAACGCACTTGTTAAATAATTTTGTCATTTCAAATTGGTATTTGAATTGCTAATTAACCTCGTATTCTTTTATTTTATCAAAATTCTCTGATTTTTCCATCATCCGTGGTTACCATTAGAATAAATACTATATATACGAACAGTTGAATGATTATTTTTTTGCATAGATAATGAATTTTGTCAAATCAAATAATACAAGTATGTATCATATTATTACACAAAAACATTAAATATAAAGTGTTGCATAGAAAACTAAAACACTTGATTCCATTGTGGCCGTATAAAACAGTTATATGATACATAATATAGAACATCAGTGCCTTTTAACAGTAATTTTAGGCTAAAAGCAAAAACTTAAAATAATCTCACCTCGGGCCAGAGTAAATAAATAAGGTCTAATAATTTGCTCTATCCAGAAATAGTATTTTAACATGAAGAATGAAGCCACTCTTTGTCACCCTCGTCAGTGTAAATTCATTCAAATAAACCATCTCGTTCAAACAACAAACCTTGATGTCGAGTAACATAAAAACCAACACATTTCAATGTTTTATTTCTTTAATACTAACGATAAATATAAAGGTTTTTCCCATCGTTTACATTAAAAGCTACTATAATGTTGGAAATTAGATTTTCGTTGACAGCCCTGCCTAACATTTTTACATTTTTAAATCAACTATACTTCCCATAATGCAATGCTCAAAAAGTGCCCGCCCCTCCAATTTTTCCAACGTGATCTGTCCTGTCCAACCAGGAGAGCCGTTACAGGCGCAATGCGGGTTTCTGGATGTAAGGAGCAATGGCGACGGTCGAGACGATGTAGGAGGTGAGAGTGAAGCTCGATTCGACCAAACAGAGGCGGACTATTGGTAGTTAGAACATTTGTTTTTAAAATATTCATAGACGTATGCAGAAAAGAGTTGTCAGTGAAATGTTTGTTTCATTTAAGGCCCGAACACGTAAACTGTTACACAGCTTATGGGGTTGTTGTGTACTTTTATTTTAAGTTTAACTTGTCAAAATAAAACATGAAGCACACTTTTAGATTGATATTAAAACGTAATGGATGTATTTTCCAGTATTCTCAACAAACACTTAAGCACGTGCTCTCTCTCTCTATCAAGGCCCCAAGATGGACAGAGAGGCCTCAGTATCCTCTTCCACCACCTCCTCCTCTGGCATTATCTCCTCTTCTCCTCCTCTTCAGACTTCTGTCAGTCAGTCCAATGTGTCTGCAAAAAAGCGAGAGTCCAGAAAGTCCACACCCACAACTCCTGCCTTCCTATCCAACCTGGGAAGGGCCACCCTGCGGGGCATTCGCAAGTGCCCTCAGTGTGGCGTGTATAATGGCACCCGTGGGCTCAGCTGCAAGAACAAGGCCTGTGGGGTGTCCCTCAGAAGTGTGTCATCAGTGAGTAGAAGCAGCAAGAAAGCTGCTGTGACAGTGGTGAAGGTGATAACGGACAGCGAGGAAAGGTCTGTGAAAGATCAGGAGGGAGGTGGAGGAGTTTTGGATGAGGGCCTGAGTGGTGGAGCGCACGTGTTTTCAGTGTGCCACAGAGGAAGAGGGGCCACGGCGACTCAATGGGGCTTTGTTGAGCTTGTTCCCACAGATACAGCGATAGCAACAGGGGACGGGACCACCTTGCTGACTCGCATCAACCTTGGTCGCTGCTTTTTACTGTCTTGCAGGCAGGGTCAAAGGTCAAGTCAGTCAGATTTGGCGACAGACAAACAATCGTCGTCTGACAGCCTTTGTGTCCACATCAAGCAAGCTGTAGAGTGTCAGAAATGTGCAACACCACTGACTTTAAAAAGCTCTGTTCTGGAGAGTTTACAGGTTTCCATTCAAGTCAGAGAGGAGCTGTGGAAGCTGGCTACAGAGTCTCCTGGGCCTCTGGTGCAACGCGTGTCTAAAAACACGCTGGTAGTGAAGTGCCACACGGACTCTCACCACCCTCTGGGCCTGCTGCATCTCTCTGTGGGAGCACCCAGGCTATCGGTGAATCAGATGAACGAGAGAAGCGTGTTCCACTGTGCCTGCCAGGTTAATGCTGCAAGGAACAAACCTGATGTGGATGGAGCTGGTGGATCAGCCATTTCTCCGTCTCCGCCCAGCTGTGGCACATTCCAGCCATGCCTTCACTTCTACGCCTGCGTCTGCGCCTTCGCGAGCAATGAAAAGCTGGCTTCAGAGTTTGCAGCTTTCATCAAATACTCTTCCAGTGGTACAGTAACCCGTCTTCTTGTCTTAGAATATGTTTAAAAACTGCAAACTTACTTTTTATCTAGTGGAAGTATTAAATACACTTCAGTCTTTATCTAGGAAAAAATCAGTCGGGATCCTTTGATGTTTAATTACATAAGAATCTTAGACTAAATAAATGACATAATTAGTAAACAAAGTACTACCAAGAATTGGTCATATTAGGGCAGCAGTAGCTCAGGAGGTTGAGCGGGTTGTCCAGTAATCAGAAGGTTGAAGTCCCGGCTCTGCCAGAGAATGCTGCTGTTGTGTCCTTGGGCAAGACACCCACCTTGCCCGCTGGTGGTGGTTGGAACGGACTGATGGTGCCTGTGCTTGGAGCCTTGCCTCTGTTAGTGTTCCCCAGGGCAGCTGTGGCTACTTGGTAGCTCATTATCACCAGGGTGTGAATGTGTGTGTGTGAAAGAATGAATGATACACTGTCGTGTAAAGCGCTTTGGAGTCCTCTGACTCAGAAAGGTGCTATACAGTTTAATGTCTCAATCAGCTGGCTGGGGGGTTGCCAATTTTCACTTTTTTGTTTTCAAATATAGACTGCAGTACCCATATGTGACCACCAGATGTCATTGTTACTTCACGCACCATTCAGTAATGTCCACTCCAGTTTATTACAGGTGTTAACAAAAGAAGAAATGATGATTGATTGAATAAAATAATGAATGAATTATGTGGATTTTATTTAAAAATGAAGTCAAAAATACAACAAATTAGAAGTGACTGAAAGAATAAAATCAACAAAAAGAATAGATCAACATTCCCAGAGTAATACTTTTTTGTTTCTGTATATTTTCTGTTGTTTTCTTTATTCTCACGTTTGCTTTTCTTCTCCCAGGTGTGCAGCAGAATGTGTTGAGTGGAGTAACTGTCAGTGAGAAACCCCTGCAGCAGACTGAACCCAATAACTCTCACCATAAAGCCAAGAAGCTTCACCTGGATGTGTCTGCAGGTGTCTTCCCCGTGCCTTAAACCTTTCTGCTCTGAGCATTTATCACGTAAAAGTTGTTCTGAATCTTCTGTTGTCCTGCTTTTTCGTTCTGTCTTCTATCTTTTCCAACCGGTGTTTCTGTCGCTCTGCCAAGCCCCTTCAGTGGCCTTCTCTGCTGGGAGGAAAGAAGGAGTGTTGGCTTCTGGTCCGAGGAAAACCAGCCAGAGGAAAGCTGCTGGTGCTGGTGGGCTGAAGGCTGCAGGTGCTGCTTATCACATATTTTTTTCAGCATTTTGATTGTCTTAGACATCTTTGTTCTTTATAAATCCTCATCTGGCAGCAGTAATCCTGATGCATGTTCAAACTGACTCACTGCAAAAATGCTTTTAATTAACCGACAAAAACATCCAACAGGCCAATTTAGAGACTAAATAACTGAGTTAGACTTTTTAAAATCTGTGTTTTTTCTTGTTTCAGGAAGCGTTCAGTTTGTGGATGAGCATACGATGGTGATGGGCTTCCATCAGTGGCTGGCCAGCGTGACAGAGAGGATCCATCAGACAATGCACTACCAGTTTGATGGTAAGACCAGTGAAACCGAAGTCCTCTGAGAAAGAATGGAACAGAAATGCTCTTTATAAACCCGCAGAGAGGAAATCAAAATCAGGAAGCCTTTATTGTCTCTGTAGGTGAACACAGTGAAACTAGATGGCATTCAAGTGGTGGTTTTGACATAGATATAAGAAAAAGAGTAAAAATATAAACCTGTAAATAAAGTTTTACTGGATGCACTGATGTGCAAATAGCTTGATAGCTGGAGTAAGTACAGGGGACTGCCTTAGATTGGTTTAGGTCCTACTTCTGTGACCGCAGCTTTAATGTTATGATGGGTAGTGCTGCCTCCCCCTCTGCAGCTTTGACTTGTGGTGTTCCTCAGGGCTCTATTCTCGGACCCCTTTTATTTAATTTATATATTTTGCCCCTGGGTGACATTTTTAAAAAACACCACATTGACTACCATTTATATGCAGACGATTGCCAATTATATGCCTCTGTGAAGCCTAATGACTCCTTACAGCCCCTTGTTGAATGCTGCAATGATGTGAAGAGCTGTCTGTCTGAAAGCTTTCATTTGCTGAACGATGCCAAGACAGAGGCCATCATTTTCAGCCCTAAGACTTCTCAAAGTCCCCAACTGACCCTTCCTTTTATCACAAGTAGGTTGAAAACCCGTGTCACAAACTTAGGGGTTGTGATGGATGCTAAACTAAAAATGGACATTCATGTCAACCAGGTAGTTAAGACCTGTTTTTACCACCTGAGGCGTCTCTCTAAAGTTAAGCCCATTTTAAAAAGGCGTCATCTCCATTCAGTTGTCCATGCCTTCATTACTTCCCGTCTCGACTACTCTAATTCAGTGCTCTTTGGTATCTCCTCCTCCACTCTCGCTCGACTTCAGCTTGTGCAGAACGCAGCAGCTCGATTCTTGACTGGCACCAGGCAGCGAGAACACATCACACCGGTTTTAGCAAATCTCCATTGGCTCCCCTTCCATCTCCGGATAGAGTTTAAGATCCTGGTTTTTGTGTTTAAATCCCTCAATAACTTAGCACCTGGCTACTTGTCTGAGCTCATTCACCCTCATGTCCCTACAAGATCCCCCCGATCAGTCGACCAGCACCTCCTACATGTCCCTAGCTCCCGCTGTAAATCCTGCGGGGAGCGCGCCTTTTCGGTTTGTGCACCGAAGCTCTGGCACCACTTGCCCCTCCTGATCAGACTCTCTTCCTCTCTTTCCCTTTTTACGTCTCGTTTAAAAACTCACTTTTATTCGTTGGCTTTTAATTCAGTCTAACTTATTCTCTTCTTTTCTTTTCGATTTCAATTACTCGATTTTAATGGATTTAGTTTTCATTTTTGATTGTTTTTATTGTGTGTTTTTGTTCAGCACTTTGGTCGCCTCTCATGCCGTGTTTAAATGTGCTATACAAATAAACTTGGTATGGTATGGTATCTATCTACCTGAGTAAGTAGTCTGAGTTAAAAGTGGATTTATTGTACTGATGATTGGCATTTTAGCTCTGATCACTGTTGAAACAGTTTTAGTTTATTTACTGGGCCAGGTTAAAATTCAGGTGTACCAGTAGCAGGTTACGGAGATGTGCAAATGTGCGTTTCACACAAATAGACAAAAACAAGAATGAAAGCCTGCACAGTAAGGATTTGTGCTTTTAAAATACAACCAACAGACGAATATCTGTTGGAGAACATTTGGTTTAAATGCACGACCAACCTAGAACCGAGCTCATGCTGCAGTTTTCTGACTGTAAAACTGAGAAAATGAAGGTTGAACTTCTCTGTAAATGAGAGGGAAAAGCCGATGGAATCATAAAATCTGAGTCTGAGCTGCAGCTTTTCCGATCGAATGTCAGAGTTCCCGTTTTACCTCAACCCCTACGCGAGAGCGACTTTTTCTTCTATGGTAAAAATATATCAATATTTATGATAATCTCAAACACCGTCTTCTCCAAACAGCGTTTTCTGACCCACTGACGCTTGTTCTGGTTTGAGTTTGCTGTAGTTGAACGTTAAAACCACCAGAAGGTTCTGAAAACAACAATTAACAAGATCTACAGATTATTAAACATATATTTTTTCCTCTTATAGTTTAAAAGCGTCAGGGGAAGCATGGTGGAGCAGTTGGCATTGTTAACGTGCAGCAAGAAGGTTGCAGGTTTGAATCCCAGCTGCAGCTTGTGGAGTTGTCATGTTCTCCTCCTCCCACAGATGAAAAACACGCGTGCCAGCTTAATTGGAAAACTAAATTGTTCCTTGGTGTGAGTGAGCGTGTGACTGGTGGTTTGTCTCGTGTCCCTGTAACTGACGGGAGACCTGTCCAGGGTGTTCCTCGTCTCTTGCTCGATGCCTGCTGGAGTTGGACACTATCTGGACCTTACTGAGCAAAAAGCGGAAATGAATGAAAACTAGTTGAAAAGCTTTTAAATAAAAGTACATTAATGAAAGATCCACAAAAATCATGGAAAGTTTAATGAAGTGCTGTGAGACATAAAAAGGTAATTTCCCCCTCGTTAGGAAAGCCAGATCCTCTGGTCTACCACATTCCTCAGGAATTCTTCAACGCCCTGCAGCAGCGTTTGTCTCTGGGATCCAAGAAGAGAAGACTACCAAACCTTACCACAGGTGAAAACCTATTTATTCGTCACATCATTTTATTATTTATTATTGTTAGTACACCAGTTCAGCTGGAGAACTGAAGGGATGGGGTTAGGGGTGTATTTATTTTTGGAAGTGTTTTGGATTTGGAAACATACAAAAACCGTATTTCTGATTGTACAAAGATTATGTAAATTCAAAGAAAATTGAAAGTTGAGTAAAAAGATGGTTGGCTTGTTACCCGTCCCTTGCCACTTTGGCGCTCTATGCAGAAACCATATTTTGAGCCCCCCCCATCATGAACCATCATGGTTCCATGACAGAATGTGTCCAACTCTGCATTCAACTGCCCTCCATGTCTGAGAGATGGTAACTTTTATATAGCTCAAAAACAGACATTCAGTCAGATCTCTTACTCCAAGCTTGCCTTTATGAAAAGGCAAAGACGCATGTGGGGAGATTCGGTTCTGAAGGTTATGCCCTTCCTTCTGACAGCTGCAACCCAGTCATCTCTTTGTTAGTTTTCCTACTTTCTGTCCAGTACCTCTTATCCAAGCAGGGAATAAAAACAAATATTACGTCGTTATGAAGTTTTTGCTTTGTGTAATTGTGTGGCCTGACATGTCGGCCCTTCATTCAACACTAGTGTACCATATTCTGCAGGTTTATAAGCTCACAACACACAAAGCGACCAAAGCTTCTGCTGTTTTTACACTCAGCTATCCCATCATGCAACGCGCTACAGCACCCGACACGTCATCTGACAATGCCCGATACTTGCATGTCCACCCTTGCGCCCTTCAGTTGCGCATTCCTGGCCAGGGATGCGAGTATGTAGGGTGTCCCAATTCCAATCCCGAAGTGTGGAATGTGACCACACCTCTTTTGCATTCTTGATCCGCACTTCACCGAAGTCCGCATTGATGTGGACTTCGGCCAAGATTATTACACACCATCGATTGTTGCATGGGAATTTTGAGAAGAAGGTGGAGCAATGGCTCAAATTCCTTTTCTGAAAATATGTATTTTTAAACTAAAGTAGTTAATTTTAAGAAGAAAAATTGTTTTCATGTTCAATTCAAGTTTCTTTATATAGCGCCAAATCACGACAAGAGTCGTCTCAAGGCACTTCACACAGTATACATTCCAATAAAGGTCAGTTCATTAAGCCAATCAGAAAAAGTTTCCTATATAAGGAACCCAGCAGATTGCATCGAGTAACTGACTAGTGTTAGTGTCTTTATAGCAATCCTCATACTAAGCAAGCATTTAGCGACAGTGGAGAGGAAAACTCCCTTTTAAAAGGAAGAAACCTCCAGAGGATCCTGGCTCAGTATAAGCAGCCATCCACCACGACTCACTGGGGATCGAGAAGACAGAGTAGACACACGCACGCACGCACGCACGCACCGCACGCACGCACCGCACGCACGCACGCACGCACGCACGCACGCACACACACACACACACACACACACACACACACACACACACACATTATAATCACACAGTGTGTGATTATAGAACAAAGCAATCCAGTGTGGAAAGTGGTCAGTGTGTCCTCCAGCAGTCTAAGCCTATAGCAGCATAACTACAGAGATAACTCTGGATAACCTAGCCTTTTAGATGGAAGCATGTTGGAGGCAGGGCAAAGGAGAGCCGTCTTTACCGACTGTATTCTCCAACTCCCTCTACTCCCCCACTTGTCCAGATCTGGGCTAATATCAGATTTAAACCATAGGCCCTATCAAATAAACATGTTTTAAGCCTAGTCTTAAAAGTAGACAAGGTGTCTGCCTCATGGACTAAAACTGGGAGCTGGTTTCATAAGAGAGGAGCCTGATGGCTAAAAGATCAGCCTCCCATCCTATTTTTAGATATTCTGGGAACCACCTGAATGTTTTAGACGTAAGATTTAATGTGGCCATCAATGAACTTAAATTGAATCAAATAATATATTTTTTGAAAGTTGTTAATAAAGATTTTTTTAAAATGTAGCACAACCAGTGACTGACCGGCATGTCGGCATGCATCAAGAACACAATGCTCCCTGTCCCAATTGGACCCACTTGTGTTCTATGCACCTGAAGCCGTAAGGCACACCTTTGTCAAAGTACACTTCCCAGAAGGGCGCAGGGCACAGTGTGAGTATTGGGATTGGGCCTCTATCAGTGCTCATCATGAGGAGCGCCTCAAGGAAGAGAATGCGCCCTCTTGCGTAGGATGACCCCCCCCCCCCCCCAATGGGCCCAATGCACAGCACACATTCTGCATATAGGTAGGGGCTGCGCTGGTTAATGATTTGAAACATTTCACTTTTTAATAAAATGTTTTTCACTATAAAACCAGTCTCAGAAGGTCCACATCATCCTTTAGTCATTAGTTAAACACCCCTGCTTTAGATTGAAAAAATTACAAATCTTTTCCATATTTTATAAAACGTTTGAGCTTCAACTAATGTTTAAAATACAGGTAAAATAATTGTATGAATTAAAATATGTGAATGGATATTCTCTTTTCCTTTTTGTGGAGTTCAGCATTCGTAAAAAACGATGGGCTTCCTCTTGGATCCTTCACCAAGTATACCTGGCATGTCACCAACCTGCTGCACGTCAAACACATTTTCGACACCCCAGAGGTAATTTGCTCCTGCTTGGGATGGGGTGGGGTGTCCTTCATGGAGACCTGAAATGAAGGTGTTATTTTTGAGGCATGGCAGCCCGCCTTGTAACTGGAGGGTTGGAGGTTCACTTTCCACTCAGTCTGTTGCAGTTGTGTCCTTGGGCAATGCACTTCACCCACTTTGCTGCAGGTGGTGGTTGGAGGGACCTGGCGGCACTCAGCCAGTTAGCCTCAGGACTGCTGTAGCAACATTGTTGTTCATTACCAACAGTTGTGATGTAAAGTGCTTTGGGTGGTTCAAGGATTAATACCTTATAAACAGGGCTTGAATTACACACAGGCTTCTGGGGGATCCCAGAGTTACTGGGGGTTGAGTGTCATTCGTCCCATCCCCTCTGAGAGTGGGATCTTAAAATCTGGCCAAAGCTGACATACAATAGCATTTTAGCTACTTAGCTACAGCGAGGTATTAAACAATCTTAAAAGTTTCTCATCAGTAGCTACATAGTAAGGTTGGTTGTGTTTTGTTGAAAGAGGTGGGACTTAATCTCATTTATTAAAAGCAGACATACAGCTGAGCCAGAGTCTTAAATTTCTCATCTAGCCTGGCTTTTAGCTTTAGTTTCTACTTCAAACGGTAGGATGGCACTTTTAGGTTAATAACGGTAGTCTATTACCACTTACACACTAGCATCGGCTCCACTCCGCTTGGCCCGTCCCAGCCTGACCGTGTTCGTTCCACACCGTCTAAGGAATGCGGACATGAGTGAACACATGGGTGGTCTTCACAATTGGCGTGAAAAATAGATATCAGTGATGTCATGAGCGCATCTCTGAACACATGGGCGGGGCAAAGGAGTGTGAAGAAGTCCGCGGTGTCTCCATTAATAAACAACGGCGGCCGGAGCAGTCTTGCTTTTGGAGATCTGACTCTAGTATTGCATCCTGCTTTGCTGTGTCTGGCAGCACTGTGTGTGTGTGTTTGTGTGTTTGCGCATGCTCCTCACGGCAGTGAGAGAAAAACAGTTTCAGTCAGAGGCTCGTTGACTCCACAGCATCCAGAACGATAATGAGTCGTGCATGGGGATAGCCTCTGCGGGCTGATTCTATTTGCAATTGGAGGGACCTCCTTACAGTAGGCATGGTTTTTAGCCGGTCAACCAGTCAGCAGTAAGTGTCTTGGACCAATAGGGCTCCAGGGAGCTTGTCTTGGGAAGAGAGCTGAAAAGTTTGCGCGCGGGAAAGTCCAAGGCTCCATGCTACCTGCATCAGTGTCTTGAGTTCTGTGGCTCCACTGAAGCCTAGACTTCCCAGAGCGAGATCAGAGCCGTGGCTGAACTAGTATACATGCTTATTAAGGCGGAAATGTCAATTAGCAGAAAAGATACATCCATGTATACTGACCGACCAGTATATATGGATGTTCTCCTCATAAAATTCATATAAACACAAATAATAATACTAGGTGTTTAAAGGCTATGAACCAAAGACAAAATAAGCCAGAGGTGAAGGTTTATGCATTTAACAAAAAATGTCATAGATCAGTGGTTCCCAAACTTATTTAGCTGCGCACCCCCTCCTATGTCCCGACCATGTCGACGCACCCCCCAGCCCCCACATCAGGGCATGTGTATATATATATATATATATCAGGCGTCAAGCTAAACAGACAGGGTTAAAAAAATATGATCAAACTTTTTCCCCATCACTTTCATTTTTTAAATAGTAATTAATAAGCATTCGATACCATTACAATTTCCTTTGATTTAATTTTAAATAAATATTTAGAGTAGCACATAAACAATACAATTTAACGGTTTTCTTAAAATAGGAACGTTTAACCTGTGCGGCCAGAGCGCTCTCCTTCCTTCTGCTCTGCGTAAACCTGAGCTGATCACCTACTTGTGCGTAATCAAATGTCTATAGGGGAAAAGATGGAAAAGATATTTTGGCTCAGACCGACTTATTGCTGTTTTATGGTGTGGCTGAATCTGCGATCCGCTGCCATGCGGACTGGAATAACAAATGCTGCAGTAACATGAGTTGTAGTCAGATTCGGAGTCACTGGCTGGAGCTGACCCGACTTTAATAAGTCATCCCAAAATAGAAGATAATATCTTAATTTGACCTTGAATGAAAAATGTTATAAAACCTCTTAAAAGTTTTTATCACGGAGGAGGCAGCGCTCATTTCTGTCTTCAGTCTGAAGGCGTGCCGGAGTTTGCGCAGCGTGCGCGCTTATTGAATCTGTGTGTGTGTGCGCGTGCGCGGCACAGCTCCATGAGCCGCTCAAGTCACCGCGTCTCGTTATCGGCGCTATTTAAACCAGTGTTACTTCTGCCCAGCCCTGATGTGCTCACTTGTGCACCCGTGAGCCATGGTTCCGCTGGAACGCGTCTGACCTCTGACAGACGCACTCTGAACTTCAGATCTTCAGTGCGCAGTTAATAGCCTGAATGGGAATCATTTCTTGATTTATTTAGTTACATCCACAATGTTCTGTGTGTGAGGTTTACAATGTCAGAACACTGCATGAGACAGGGTGTTAATGACATCTGCCAGAATGACTCGCCACCTTCAGATTCCTCCAACACCGTTAAAAATGATCAAATACGGAACATATCGGCGAGCGCAGGCCAGAGTGCTGAAGCTTGGCGCATTGTTATTATGAAGCTAGGGCACATGCGGAGGACACACGCGCAAAAATATACTTGTTTTCAACTACATTTATTGGGCCCACTTACGTTTTCTTAGGCCCACCTACAAATGAGTTTCTGGATATGCAAATGGTGATATATGACAGACTTCTCTGAGCTCCGCAGCCATTACACTTTTCACCTCGTGCACCCCCTAGCGGCAGCTTGCGCACCCCTGGGGGTGCGCGCACTACACTTATGATCATTAGGGCTGATGTGAAATCTAATCCAGATTAGTCCAGGTCAGAATTATCATCTCATCTCTCTCATGATCAGCAGCAGCTGGATGTTTATGGCCACAAAATTTCAAGTGAAGCACACTCCTTTTATGTCTTGTGTTTGCTCACGATCCATATTTCCATTTAGAAGCCGTCTCCTCCATGGATGTACCTACCTGTCAGAGCATTTAACCACTGGTTGGTCAGCTGATGCTGCTGATGGTGACGCATGGTGCATCTCGCGGCAGTGATGCGCCTTTTGTGTAAAATGCGGCCCTTCGTGGAGCTCGTGCCAGACTGTCGATGACTGATGTTTGAGGACACACAGATATCTTTTCAAAAATCTCTGAGATTTCGACTAATGAATACCTGGAAAATTTACCAGTATGCACTGTACCCTAGAAAAAGTACTGGCATGCTGAAAGGTTATTTTTAGAAGTGGCGGCGGTGCTGGTACCGGTCCAATGCACTGCTCTCTGTTCCTAAAGGATGAGTCTGATGATCTTATCATCAGACCCTGATCATCGTGATCCGTTACTGACAGCCACTGTTTCTCCCTCCCCAACCCACCCTACGTGCCCAGCATTGCGCGCTGCGCGATAATTAAACTGGCCCAAAAACTCCACCTCAAACTGGTTCTCCCAACATGACCACATATTGGCCAGCCTGGACATGCATCTGTGGCCAGAGCTTTCTTCTTTTTCAATCCCTCCTTTTCTGCTTCACCTTTCCTGGTCCGTCTAGGTCCATTTTGCCTCTGGGGCCAAAGGTGCGGCAATCACTGAGTGAGCCAATTTTAACGGCCAGGCCACCAGGAAATCCCCCGTTTCTCTGACACTGAAGAGATGTGTGCAATTTTACACCCCCCCCCCCCCCCCCTCCCGTCAAAAGCAGCACTGAAATCTAACAAGACTAGAACAGACACAAGATTCTTATCTGAGGCCATGAGAATATCATTTGTAACTTTCACTAATGCAGTTTCAGTGCTGTGATACTCTCTAAAACCGGACAGAAATTCCTCAAACAGATCATTAGTGTTTAGATGCTCACATACTTGGATGGCCACTTTTTTCTCAAGGAGTTTGGATAAAAATGGAAGGTTAGATATTGGTCTATAATTCATTGGGTCATCTGGATCCAGAGAAGATTTCTTAAGTAAAGGTTTGATTACAGCAACCTTAAAATCCTGAGGTACATACCCATTTACTAAGGATAGATTGATTATATTTAGAATGGGATCAGTAACCAGAAGAAATGCATCTTTAAATAATTTGGTTGGAATTGGATCTAAAATGCAAGTTGAAGGTTTAGATGAAGCTAATATTTTTGATAACTCTGAAAGTTCAACTAGATCAAAACAATTCAAACTCAGATGAGGTTCTACAGTTACCTCTGATGCTGCCTCACTTACTGAGGAAGAAGAAATCACATTAGGGAGGATGATAATGATTTAGTTTCTAATAGAATTAATTTTAATTAACTGAGGCTCCCTATTGTGTTTCATTTTTAATAAAGTTTCAATTAAATCTTGGATACTGGAAATAGCATCCTCTCAGAAAGTAATTGCGCCATTCTCATGATTGTGCCCAGTACCCGTGCTACGATGATGATGATGATGATTGATGATCAACATATAATGTATATGCATGCTACAAACTGCAGCCAAGTGTACTTGGCGATAAGCAAACTGCAGCGGGTCCTGATATGTCCTAGTTTGCTTATTCAAGTGGACCAACAGGAGTCTTTCCAGGACCTTCATGATGTGGGATGTCAGGGCAACGGGTCTGTAGTCGTCATTGACTGATGGGCAAGTTTTCTTTGGAACTGGAACAAGGCAGGATGACTTCCACAGGACTGGGACCTTCTCCTGGGCCAGGCTGAGGTTGAAGAGGTGCTGCAGAATCCCACAGAGATGCTCTGCACAGGCCTTCAGTACTCTGGGGCTGACACCATCTGGACCTGCAGCCTTGTTCCTGTTCAGTCTCTCCAGCCGCCTCTTCACCTGACTTCTAGAGACATATAGGTGGGAGGGGGAGGTAAATTGGGCAGCAGCATCTCCTGACTTGGTTGAAGACAGATTTATAGAACCAGAAGAGTCTATGACTGCGTTAGAGGACAAAAGAGCTGGCGTGTGACAGGAAAATGTTGGATCAGAGGTGGATGGGATGTCTGATTGGCTGGGGACAGGCGAGGAGGATGCTGGGTTTGTTCCTGAACTGAACCTACAGAAGCAGCCCCACCTCCATTTACAGCCGTTTTCAACATCCATCGATGAAAGACAAGTTGGTAAGGGGGATCAAGCATAAGGAGGGGGCCCCACTATTTTATTAAGAGGGGCAGCACTTATGTCTGCAGCAATCACTTCATGGCTGATGATTACGTGCTGGGACGTGTTAGCTGCCTTAACTCGGATACGGTACCAGGTCTGTTCTTCTGGAACAACTTCAGGTACTAATAGGGAGTCTGTGTTCAGTGTCACAATCAGCAGTTTGTGAAGCAGAGCATACAGAAACTGGAAAACCAGAAGCTGGAGAGGGCACAGAAGGCGACAAGGCTGGACCATGATTATGCCACGTCACCCCCCCACAGGTAAGTTGTTTGACGCAAACTGCTAAAAAGTGAGCTTTTGTATGTGTTCATGTTGCGCTTAGTGGGCTGCCACCAAGGCAAAATAAAATTAGAGTGATGCCACGTTAACAGTTTATTGTTCAAGCAAGGGGGGCGTTCACTGTTTCGCCCTTTTCACTTGGAGGTGTGGCGTGAGAGCATGTAAGGAGGGACAAATGTGTGTGTCTCATGCTCAATGCGTGAGAGTTGGCAGCCATGCTTCATGTAAACTAGTGTTTGTAGTTGAAGCAAATCAATTATTACAGGTTGTTCCAAATCAAAGAAATTAGGTTGAATTTTTTACTTAATGTAAATATTTTTACTAAATCTAAGCAGAAAAATTTAAGTTGATGTCTTTGAATGGTTAAGCAAATTTATATTTTTTTAACTTGCCTTAAACAAATAATTGTAGTTGTCATAATGTAAATGTTAGGGGTGTAACGGTTCACGGAGGGGTGTTGATTCGGTTCGGTCCACTTGCGTACTGTTTCGGTTTATTTTTTCCGTTAAATAATTAATTTTCATTTCCATGATTTAAGTGCAGCGGATAAAAGTTTCTAGGCGAGATTTCGCACGGACGCTGCATTGAGTGATGCATGATGGCAGATGGCCCAATCTCCTTTTAAAAAATGTGATCTGCAAATTCTGATGAACACAGTTCAGAGCGGATCAAACCAGCCAGCTGTCGCTGCTACTGTGGAGCCTGTAGAGACGCTGAACGGAACGTCGCGTCACCCCTCCCTCCCTTTTCTCACACTGTGCAGGCACACAGCAGCAAAAATGTAAACAAACGTGTCTGCTGAACTTTCCGCCTGGGACAGTTGATGTAAAGAAGAAACTGGGCGGTGTAAGGTGAGTTTTTAAGGCTCGCTGCAGAAATAAAAACACGAGCATCAACAAACGCAACACATATCTGCATGAGCGTGACACTCATAGCTGCTCAAATAACCTGTGAAATAATTAAAGGCATCATGCTAGATCAGCAGCCTGTGATGATACCTGGTTCTGCTCACTATAGCAACCACTTTAGATATTAAATAAATATAATAATAATATACCGAAAATTAATTGAACCGAACTCCTCAAAACACTGAGCCAAGCCGAATACGATTTTAGCGTGCCGTTACACCCCTAGAAAATATTGTGGCATCTGTCGTGCTACGACAGTCAATGGGTGGAACAGGAAGCTAACAGCTAGCAGCAAGATTGAACAACACCAGCTAACTGCCTCTTACACCACGTTACTGCAAACAGTCAGTGAGAGGGAAACACAAGGAGCTGATTACAGAGCTTTTAGTAGCAGCGAAACGGCACAGTGGTCCTATGCCTGATCTCCTCACTTACGGTACCAACTAGACACAAGTAACACCACATTTGCAACAGTGATTGAAGTAATCACTAAGAACCCCACCCCCCACAACAAACATGCACAAACACCCCAAAATAGAACAAAATAACTAAGAACATGAATACCTACAATGTACCTTAACCACTGCAGCTCATGCAGGTCATTACAATATAGTATGACATATAAACTTACATTTTAAAATGACAATGTGTAGTTTTTACCCTTAGTCTCTGGAAATATCCATCAAAATGTTGTTGAAAAAGAATTAAATGATGCCCAGTTGTTGAAAAACATTGGCGGCTTTATAACATACAATCATAAAAATTTGGTATAAAATACATGGGCACAGGTCTAAGTCTCCGGGCAGCACCATATTAGACTGATGTTTCCCTCTACACGAGCCCGTGAGGACAAAATGCATTTACTGACTTAAACGGTTACAAAACTTTCACCATTCATGAATGTTGTTTTACACATTTACGTCTTCACTCGTTGCCAGTGATGAAAGGGAGTCTGATGACTTGTCATTTTGCTGCAGGCTGCATGAGTTAACGAAGTACTTTGTAAGGTCACAACACAAAAAAATTGTTTTCTTGCAATGATTTAGGTATGTATTCCCCTATCAACAGGGAAAATACACCTCACCACTTTAAATTTCACTCATAACACATTTGTTTTTATGAACATTTATTGTTCAATGAACATATTTTCACCCAGAATGATAACACTACATTTATTTAAAGTCCAACAACAGTATTGTTCTTTCAAACGCAGAGGGGGGAACTTTTTACTTTTGTCCTGATTACATATTTTGTTCATTTTTCTTGTTTGTTCTTGCCCATCGCTTTAAAATGGAAGCTCTGGTTTGAGGCTAAAAAAAAGAAAAATGAAACCACCATAACTAAGTTTTGAGGAGTGCGCATGCAAATCACACTCAACCTAATAAAAGTGCTTTGCTAAAATCAAAAAAGTCACTTTGTACATTAGAGTCATGTAAAATAAAAAATGTATCCATAGGCATAAATTAGTTTAAAATAGCAAACTAATATTTTTAACTAATGGAATTTAAAAATAACACATTAAATGAATGACATACGTGTTTTCTTTTTTCAGTGTACCATACATCTTATTAAATATTCAGTATTATCATATATATGTTGTTAGAACATTATATATTGTTTCAAAGTGATTTTTATTGTAAGCACTTAAAAATTATATTATTAGAAGATGATCATGTTGAAAATGTGGTTTCACTGTAATTTTATTTTTCATGGGTGGCAGCTCTACATTCCTGTATCATATTGCTTTGTCTTCCGTGGTCTTCAGTGATCAATTTTAAATGTTATTATTTTATTTTTTTTAACTCGTCCTGTCCAGCATCATAGAAGTAGGATGGTGGACTGCTGCTTTGCGCCGAGCAAGTTTGCCTAGCTAAGAGGAACTGTGTAGTCCATAATAACTTTATTTGAATATTACTGTATCTAGATGTTATTGCTACACATGACAAAGGAGATCAGAGCAGTAGAGAGAAGTAAACAGGAGAGTAAAACAAACCCAATAGCCTTGGGGGCTGTTCCAGAGAGCGAGCTAATCCCAAAATCCCGGTTTAAGAGCCCCATCATCGTTTTGACGAACGTGGCTAGACTGAAACCCCACTCATTCACCATGGTAACACTTGTTGGAGAACAAACCTGCTCCGTGGCAGGCTAGCAGCTAGGCTTGCTGAAGTTTAGTGAATATAATTGGATGAGGTGTGTTACTGCCCATTTTTCTTGTCGGTGGCTTGCAGCAATGAGGTGGTGAATTAGCGCCACCACTGGCCCACAGCGGTAACCGCTTTGTTCTTGATGGCAAAATAATTAATAAATGTGGAGTTTAAACTTTTAAAATTGGGTTCTAATTAGATTTACATCTTAACATTTTTGGATTTAATCTTCATTTGCAGCCAAGAGCATTTGAGTGTACTGATGTTGTTCCTGATGTCAGCATCATTAATACATATAATGATATTTCAACTTTTGTCTAGATGGACCCATATAATTAACGTGCTGTCCTCTTTATGAATATGTTAAAAGAGCCTTAAACTATTTTACAGCTGCTAACATTGAAGCAAGCGTCCACTTAGTGGTTCTATTAGAATACGCTGCTTTTTCAGGGAAGTTGAGGCCGCGGTGAGTTTTATTGTACAGACCCTGGTTTGGACTCCCTATTAGAACGTGTTTTCTATTTTATGGTGGGATGGAATTGCCGTACTTGTTTTCCTGTGACAACACACTCTCCTTGTAGGTTCCCGTTATTCAGTGGTTTTGAATACTAGGGCGAGAGTTACTGGAGGCCAACGCAGCTGACCATTATTTGGGTCCTATCAGGATTAATTTGCGCCTCTGTCAGCAATGTGGGCGGTGGTAACTAGAAAATGATTCCTGTTAGGTGATCAGGCTAACATGGATTTATCAATTAATCTAATTGATCCACCCTTTGAAATGGTTCCATCCCATGCTAAACAGAGACTTTTTCACACGTGCAGAACAGAGCCTGTTTGAACCAACTAACCATTATGGTTTATTACCCTTAGGATGTCCCACTGCAATAGGGAGGAGGAGAGACTAAGCTCTCATTACCTAAGGTATCTTTTCTTATCTGTCACAACCTGAAACAAGTCCTGAAGTACAGGTACAAGCAATAAGGCGGCTTACCTTTGCTACCAGGTCTGGTCGGGGCTCCCACTCAAAGGCTAAAAGAGTCCTTTAAGAATCGAGAACGAGGATTCTTTTTCCAAAAATTTTATTTCAAAATCAAAAAGTACAAAAAGCGTAAAGCTAAGACTAAATATCCCCTTACGAGGATGCTGCTTCTAAATCTCTCTCTGAGAACAACTGCTCTCATCAACTCTCCTCCAGTACACACACACTTCTGACTACTTCTAACTGCTCATGTATATCATTCTCACCCCCAAATTCCACTACCTCCGCTCCGCTGCGCTCCGCTCCGACACGAACGCCGGAGCAAAATCGGTCCCTTTGTAGTCAGTCAGAGCAATTCCACTACTGCGGCCGTGCTCCGGCAGTGCGGCGCCGTGCGCCGCCCTCTGTTCCGGCGTCCGGCAAAAATAGAATCGATCCTATTTTTGCCGGACGCCGGAGCACCTCCACAGTCAATGGACAGAAATTACAAACGCCCAACAGGAAAAGGAGTGAGCACAACTTCCGTTTTTCACAATACATCGATAAACAAAAGGCGTTTTTTGTTTCATATGCACAGGTTTAACAACTTTTAACAACTATCAGTGGCGGCTGAAGTTTAAATGCACAAAAATAAGCCATGAATACAGTTTCCACTATCAAAGTAGTCACACTTTGTTGATCCAAACACTGCTGATCTCTCAACACAAATGATGGGCAGATTAAACAGTTCATTTCGATGCTTCTCCCACACAACGGGTGTTTGGATCTAACTTCCGCGTTTATTGCTCGGACTGTATCGCAAGATCTTGAAAATCCCGCGCATGCTTGTTTGCCCACCTCAGGTCTCCGCACCGGAGCAGAGCCGTTGTAAAGCGGGTAGCAGTAAAAATTGAGTTCGGAAGCGAGCGGCTGCGGAGGGCGGGGGCGGTGCGGAGGTAGTGGAATTTTGGGGTAAAAACTGCAAAGCAATGCATTTTCCATTGTATAGCATTTTCATGTTACAAGCACTTTTTCAGAGTGAAGCAATTTGCATTACATATATCAGTCAATCACAAGACAGCCAAACAATGTGATCATTGTATTTTGTAAGATGGTTTCAGGTTCACCCAAAGTTCAAACTCCCCCTCGGAGGGCTTCACATATTGTGATGTTTCCTTCAGTTGGCCCACTTCTCGTTTTCACCTGCCTGATTCCACTCGCATCAGCAGGCTCCCGCTTATCTTTGCTTTCCTTGTGACCTCTCCCATTGTGACCTCTTCCTTTGTGACCTCCTTTATTACCTTCTGTGGTTCTGGCATGCGGGAACTTGCAACAACATAATACATGTGTAAAAGGAAATACTTAATTGATTTGACTGTAAATGTTATCAGCATGTACTCTGGTCACACGTGTCAATAGGGTGGGGCATCGTTTCATTTTGAACAATTCCAATTCCGATTCCAATTCCTCGTTTCGATTCCGGTTCCAATCAATTCCCGATTCTGATTCTTTCAAGACATGACATGCTTTACATGAGCCAGCTAACCACAGGTCCTACTTGATGAAGTAATCTTAACTTCAACATGAATTTTAATTCTATGAACAACAACATCATCTTCATTTAGACAAAAACATGTTCTAGAGAAAAAAAAGAAAAAGACTTGCAGCACAACCAGTGTGTTTGTTTCTGACCACAACCAAAGTCTGGAAGAAGCCTCTGGGATGAGAGGCTAAATGTCTCCAACATATCCAGAAACGTCCAGCTGTTTTCAGCTGAAACTCTCAGGATGATCATGTCCAGGATGACTGAGAACTACACCTCCACGCTGCAGCAGCATTCAGTCAGAACAGAAAGTGAAACTTAAATGTAGCTGCTGTCAGTAACAGTCTAACAGATTTTAAACATTAAAACTCTCAACAGAAATAGTTCAGAAAGGAAATTAAAATGTTCACAACTTTGTGTGTGATTTATTATTATTATAATTATTTATTGTGGCAGAAGCTGGTGTGGTCCACCACAGAGAAGCTGCTCTAGCATGATGACTTTATTCTACAGGTTATTGGTCAGCCCTCTGACACACACACACACACACACACACACACACACACACACACACACACACACACACACACACACACACACACACACACACACATATGTTGGTGAGCGGCTGCGTCTGACTGCTGACGCTCCATGTGTGTTGTTATTTCTGCAGTGAGACAAACTCATCTCACACCGTCCAGAGTTTGTTCTTTAAAGCTTTTATTAAATCCACCGTGTTGATGTATTTTAACAAGTTTCCTGTACGCTCCAGGAGCTAAAGTTTACTTTACGGAGTAAAAGTTCGGTTAACGCGTTTGTTTATATTTGGCCGCTGCGCGCCGGGTGGGGGGAGGGGGGACTCGGTGCTGCACACAGACAGCTGGTGTGATCAGCTCTGCATAGCGTTGATCACAATTTGCAGATTACATTTATTTTTCACGGAGATCGGCTGTGGATTCCTCTTCCGTCAGCATTCTAGGAATCGAAACTAGGAATCAAAATAAAAAACTTTGAACGATTCTGGGAAAAACTAACAGTTGGAACCGGTTCCAATCGATGCTCGATGCCCAACCCAAATTCTAAATGACATATGTGATGTTTTTACGTTGGTGTGTAACATAAGAGCTAAATATTTGTGACAAACAGTTTACAGCGTTACCTTTAGGGTCACATGACCACTACAAACATATGCTCTTAAAACTCACAGCTGCTCAGCAAAAACAAAGTCCTCGAGTCTCTAAACATTCAGACTCTGGAGCAGAACATGAGAACGACACATACATGATGAAAACTTGAATAAAATGCGTGGAGAAAAAAAGAGCTAAAGTGAACTTCTCACGTTGCTATGGAAACTTGTAAATCCTTAGCGTTCTAACTAAATAACTAGCTACACAGCTTTAATCAAGTAACTAGCTGTCTCTATTTGAGTTCTAATATCTTTGTAGTCCTCTTAGGCATGAATGAATAATTATTCCTCCATCTGGATGAAGAATGAGGCTGTCCTTTACTTCCATTCTCATTTATCAAGCATCGATTAACGGGGGCTGCCTATGAACGCACGTGTGCCTCGCTTGCCGCTCCTCGCTTGAATTATAGGGGATTGAATCCCCCTGAGAACTGTTCATGGAGCCGGCGAAGCCTGTAGGGATGGGGAGCGTTTTGTCAAGCAGGGATTTATCAAGAAAGCCCCGATGTTCTAAACTCGCTTTCTGTAAACCCCCCCCCTCGAAAAGTGAGAACAAAAATAAATAAATAACTACGTAATGAATCACAACAGCAATAACAGATACTATTTACATGTAAGTGTGTATTCTATCATCGTATGTGGATAAAAGCTAAATGTTTGTCAACACGGGGTCTATATTTTCAATAGATTTCTATACATTTGGTGAATTTCAGTGAGTTTTATTGATGACTGAATTAATTCTGCCTCTTTAATTGTTTTTACCAAAGGTGCTTTAGATGAGACAGCGGAGATCATTCAAGACTTGGAGGCCAAACAGGAGAGTGTGGCCATACCGCCGCTAATCGTCGTCAGTCAATGCTGTGCTTCTGATACTCAAATAAGATTCTACACAAAACTGCCATCGGTGTGTGTGTGTTCAGGATCTTGTGGGAACACATTGCTCCTTCTGCTTCTCGGCTGATTTACTGGAGCAAAGCAAGGAGGATGGGTGAGGAAGCCAAGGGAGACACAGAACCCAGCCCCTCTAGCAGCATGCTGTTAATGAATGAATTCCTCATGTACTGTATGCGAATCACTGCTGGCGTGAAGGAGCAGCTCCTAGCTGACATGTTCCAATGTAGTGTTGCCACAGTTAGCAGAGTGACCTTCACTTGGACCAATTACCTCTTCTTAATTCTGGGGACACTTTCTATTTGGATGTCTAGGGAAAAAATAAGATCAGACATGCCAGAGACGTTCAAAAAGCACTGTCCCAACGTCCGTGTGATCCTGGACTGAGATTGCTGTGACCACACCCTCCTCACTCATCGTGCAATCTAAAAAGTTTTCCCACCACAAAACCAAAAAAAAAAAGTGAATGCCCTTATTGGAGTCAGCCCCCATGGTTTTGTGTCCTTCTATTCCCAGCTGCACTCTGGATGCATCTCTGGCAAGACGATAACACGACTCTGGAATCCTTCAGCTGCTGGAGCCACGTGATGAGGTGATGGCCAACAAGGGCTTTGTCATTGATGATCTCCTTTCTGATGTTAGAGCAAAACGTATAATCCCCGCCTTCAAGCACTCTGCTCCATGTATTTCAGAAGACACAGAGAAGACACAAGCCATTGCTCTCAGGAAAGTCGCCAGGGCAATAATGGGACAGATTAAATCCAATCAGATCTGGGACTCACCCATTCCGCTCACTCTGATCGGCACAATCAGCCAGATGTGGCCCAAATGCTGCGTGATGGTCAGTTTTCAAGGACCTCAATCCTGTGAAGAGCATTTTGCTCACACTGTCGGAAATGGTTACAAAATATCTGTAAAGTACTTTCTTAACATTTCTGATTTAATTCTGTGGGACTTGCATTCATTTTTTACTGTTTACATTTAACTCCCTCTTGGTCAATGATCCGTTTTTGGGGTATGAATGACAATTTGCCGTCACTACTACGGAAGTTAAAGCAGAAGATTTCAAGGTGATTTTTTTTCACACTAGGTGTATTTATTTATTTTTTTAATGAATAGTTTAGGCATTTCTTACTCATGTGCATTGTATGTTTTTTATTTATTTGTTCAATGGACATTCTTTTATTTTTCTTTGTACTGCTCCTGTAATGAAGATGATTGCTCCTCTGACACGATTTATCCACTGAGACAATAAAAGGATTTTATTTTCTATTCTCTTCTCTTTTGTTCCAAAACACATCCGCACCATGTCAAAGCACCAAATAAAGGTTAGTGTCAAAACATGAACTTGAAATGGTTCTCCATGCCTGTATCTCCTCTCGTCTAGATTACTGTAACACACTCTTCACATGTTTTAACAAAAATGCCCTTGACCGCCTTCAGTTGGTTCAGAACTCTGCAGCGAGGCTCCTAACTGGAGCAAACAGAAGAGCTCACATCACTCCTATTCTAATGTCTCTGCACTGGTTACCCGTTAACTTTAGAGTTCATTTTAGAATCCTGACTATAACTTTCAATGCTCTACATGGTCAATCAAACAATCAATATTTGTTTAGCACCATCCACTGCCTTTGCAGGCGCCCAAGGTGCTGAACATAAAATACAGTAAAAACACAGATAGCAATTAAAAGGAGGTAAAAGCAACATACAGACATAAAAGCACCATACAAAATGTAAACAAGGAGCATAAAAACATACAACCAGGTCACATAAAAGCCAAACGATAAAAATGAGTCTTCAAACGACTCTTAAAGAGCAAGTCACCCCCAAATAAACTTTTTTTTTGCTGATAAACTAAATAAACGAGTGTCTAATCGTGCTGCAGACACGTGTCGTCAATAATTTGGCACTTCAGTGCATCTTAGTTAAAATTGAAATATTCTGCCTAAAACTGGCAGTGTTGTGCCGTTGTCAGGTAAAAACTCTGCACTGTATTCTAATTTAAATCTGCCACCGCTATTGGCTAAGAAGTATGCTATGATGTAAACTGGTACATTATGATGTCACAATGCTGTCGTGAGCCTGAGTGTGTGTGTATTTGTTAGCGGCTCCGCCCTCTCGGTCTGCCAGGCAACAGCATGTGTTGCATTTTTCAAACATGAAGCGGGAGTGGAGTTAGACTCTGGTAGGGGTTGACTTGCTCTTTAAAAACCTGCAGTGAATGTCACAGTTTATTATCGAGTGAAAGCTCATTCCAGAGAGAAGGAGCCAAGACCGAGAAAGCCCAATCACCTCTAGACCGGACCTAGTTTGTGGGACAGTCAGTAGCTCCAGATCAGCTGAATGTAGAGTCCGTGATGGGGTATGCCTTTTTATTAATGCTGCCAAGTATGGTGGGGCACCACCATAAAGAAACCTGGAAGACTTGGCACATAATTTTAAACTTTGCCCAAAAACCTATAGGGAGCCATTGTAATGAGGCCAGCACAGGAGTGATATGTGCCGACCTCCTTGTCCCTGTCAGAAATCTGGCCACAGAGTTCTGAACCAACTGTAGACGACAGTGCTGCCTGACTTAGACCAACATATAAAGCATTGCAATAGTCGAGCGAGCCTGGATAAAACAAATGTGTGGTCAAGCTCCTCCCTATATTACTGAACTTGGGGCAGCAGTAGCTCAACAGGTTGAGCGGGTTGTCCAGTAATCGGAAGGTTGCAGGTTCAATCCCAGCTCCGGACAGTTGTGTCCTTGGGCAAGACACTTAACCCACCTTGCCTGCTGATGGTGGTCGGAGGGACCGGTGGCGCCTGTGCTCGGCAGCCTCCCCTCTGTCAGTGCGCCCCAGGGCAGCTGTGGCTACATCGTAGCTCATCACATCAGTGTGTGAATGAGTGTGTGAATGGATGAATGATACACTGTAGTGTAAAGGGCTTTGGAGTCCTTACTCTGAGAGGCGCTATACAAGTGCGGGTCATTTATCATTTATCATTAACTGTTAAAGCCTTATGCTCCAACCCGAGCCCTCAGGTCCACACACCAGAACCTTCTAGAAGTTCCAAAGACCAGATATAAAAGTCGAGGTGATCGCTCTTTGCAGGCTGTTGCACCCCGACTTTGGAATTACTTTGTGATTCTATGTCTATGATAAGTAAGTAAATTTTATTTACATAGCACTTATCACAGACATATAATCCCAAAGTGCTTCACATAGATCAAAACAAAATAAAACATGAAATAGATCAACATCAGAAAAAAATGGCCATTAAATTATAAAAGAAAACAAAAGATTTATGTAAAATCAGCTTTAAATAAAAGGGTCTTTAGCTGTTTTTTTAAAGTGTCCAGACTGTTAATGCTACGTAAGGCTAAAGGAAGATCATTCCAAGTGCTATATAAAAATTTACTTATTTACTTCACTTTGTTATTTCTATTAAATGTAATCCTTTTTTTATTTTAGTTCCCCTTTTGTTAGAAATTTCTTTTAAACAAAGAATTATTGGGCAATTGTAAAAGGCTTGTAGTGTAGACGACCCATGCTGACTGAAGTCTGATCAAGTGAGAAACGTGTTGGCGTAGAAGAAGAAGAAAGTATCATTTCTATAGCACCTCTCAAGATAAAAATCACTAGGCGCTCCAGCTTGTTTTCTCTAAGTGACAGCGCCCTGAAACGGCTCATTCTGGAAGGTTCTGAAACTGTCTAGGATAAAAGTGCTAAAATAGCTTCATTAAATGAATGACATGAGACTGATTTATGCAACAACCTTTATAACTTTATTACTTTTGATGTCATACATTCATGATTTTATCATCACACCCATGGACTTGGACTGATGAGTATTTGAATTTGTTTGTATAAAACCTGACAAGAGTCAATATGAAGACGATGATTAGCATAAAAGGCAGCAAAGCTGAGACACATTTAAGAATTCAGAAACTGGTTTAACACAAAATTTTACCTCTTATCGTCACCAGCTGCCACTGGAGTTCTCTCAGAGCTTTGTGAAGAACGTAGACGGTTCCTACTCACGTTTTCAACGCCCCGATCCGCCGCCTGAGCCAGAATCGCAGGACAAGACAGATCGACCGCAGCCGATACGACCGATGGAGCTCTGCACCTTCCTTAAAGTTGGTGGGTGTTTTTTTTTTCATTCGTTAGGAAGTTTTGACAATGCTGGAGTTTCGGGTTTGCTCTTAATTCACATTTTATGCCTCTGCCAGGACCGAGCTCAGCAGATCAGGAGGCCGGCCCATTTGTGATCGAGTGGATCCCCGATGTTTTGCCCCGCTGTCAGATGGGAGAGCTCAGGATCAGCTTTGAGTTTGGCCACCGGCAGAGCGGCCAGCCGGAGAACTCCGAGAAAGCTACGGAAAAAAAGGCTCACAGCAAGTCAGACTGTCCTCAAACCAAAGCAGAAGATCCTGTTGAAGTTCATCAGATGGTTCTTTAATGTTCCTGTTACTTCCACTTTAATCAGATTTGGTTGATGTTTGGGCTGGGTCTGCACAAGCCTGATGTCAAGAGGTCAATCCTAACAATAAATCTAAACATTTTTGACTTTTTCCCCAACACTGACCTTCTGAGACTTTTAAAACTAGTAAAATCAAATGAATTACACTGAGAATCAGCGTTGTTTGTTTTACGATGTAAAAATAAATAAATAATAAAACTCATGGTTCAAAATGTCTTTACTGGGAGAATAGAAAAGCCACTTTACAACATGGCTTGCCTTATAAATGTCTGATCATTAATTTTTTTCCTCCAAGTAATTATTAAGTGTTTACTAGAAAATTCCTGAAGAAATTATAAAAGGGGACTTGCCCGCTGGCACAAGATGGTGGCCATGTGTCATAGAGGCCCGAAGTCGTGGTATTAGGGTGACGTTGGGGTGATCACCCCCAATCATGATGTTGCTTCCCACGGACAAGCTGGTCATTTTGATTTAACATTCGCGGGGGTGCATGTTGCAGGGCTGCGTGCACCCCCACAAATGTTGGCCTAAGAAACAGTTAATTAACCCAAACGTACTGACCACACCCAAAATGAACAAAAGAAAGAAAGAAAAGAAAATGATCTTTTCTATAACGCCTCTCAAGATAAAAATCATGAGGCGTTTAACATAAACAAAAAACAAAGAGTTCAAAAAATGATTAAAAACATGTTTAAAATGAGAAAAATAATAATGTAAGGAAAGGGAGAGAGAAAATGAATAGGAACGAGGGAGATCAGTGGATCACGGGGAAAGGCGGAACACACACATGTGAAAATGAACACACCCGAAATGAAATATTTTTCATTGTTTTATGCTAATAATTTCTCCATGGTAAATCCAAAAGTTTAGAAAAGTAAAAGCACACCTCACGGCCGAGTCGGTTGTTTTGATGTGAAATTTGTGAGGGTGCACGCTGCCGTTCGAGCCGCATTAACGTCTGCAGAAGAAGAATAAAGATAACAAATCCTCCAGTAAAGAACAACAAGATACCTGCCAGGATGTTTATGCATTATTAAAGTGATTACCATTAATCTCTTGGAAATATCCATAATGTTGTAAATGAATTAAAAGATACCCAGTTGTTAAAAAAATTGGCAAAAAATTGGGTCTAAAATACATGGGTGTTTCGTAATGTCAAGGAACCTCTCCTTGATGCCGCCAAGGCGTGTTCCAATGTTCATGTTCTACCGAGGTGTGTGCTCTCCGTTTGTCAGCCGTTTAGCTAGCTGAGCAAGGGCACACAGGAGGTGTCTTGTAGCCTAGCCTTGTTCAAAAATTACCCAGAATACAGCGCTGTATTTTCAAAATGATGGCGGATCAGAAGCCGGCAGCTACTTCACGGGCAAATTTCAAGTTTAAAAGTAAATCAACTAATTTAAAATGTTTTTTTAGATGCAAAGAAATGATCTGTGGTTGGTTAGTTGCTTAGTAGTTGCAGTTTCTGTGACTATCCATCCATCCATCTTCTGAACCTACTTTGTCCACGCAGGGTCGCGGGGGGCGCTGGTGCCTATCTCCAGCAGTCAACGGGCAAGCAGGCGGGGTACACCCTGGACAGAGAGCCAGTCCATCGCAGGGCAGCTTCTGTGGCTAGCAGGTGGTAACTCACTTATATATTGAATTTAACAAACATATACACAATTTTAAAAGTAAATGGCTCATTATATATTTATGTAGAAACTAATATGTATAAGATATAACGTTATCTCCCGTGTCACGTGTTGTTAGGTGACCACCGAGGAAGCCGCGGTCATGTGATGCAAGTCTGTTCTATTTAAT